CTCCTTCTCCAGCAAGGTGAGCAGGAAGCACAGTCCAGCAAACGCCGTGGCGGTGGCCCACACAATGCGGAGGGCGTCGACATAGACGCTGACCACATCATCGCGGACGTCGGCGGGCAGGGAGCGAATGTAGGAGCTTGAGACATGCGAGTAGGCCGATCCACTCCCCAGGGTGCGTCGCACATCCGGATCACTCACGCGCTTGCTCAGATTGGTCTGGATCTGGGAGTTGAAGATCGCGCCCGGGATGGCCACCCCCCAGACGCCGCCGTACGCTCGCAAGAAGCCCCAAGTCGCCGTCGCGGGGGCCACCTGCGTGTCCTGCAATGGGGCCTGCACGGCGGGCAGCAAGGTCGACATGATCATCCCCGTGCCCACAGCGGTGATGATCTGGAAGATGACATACTCCGCCATGGACGAGTGCTGATCCAGGCGGATGAACAGCCCGGTGCCCAGGGTAATCAGCATGAAAGCCACAATGTGGATGGGCTTGTACCGGCCCCAACGGGTGAGAAGATTACCAAAGAGCATAGCGATGGGCAGACTGGTAATCACAAACGGGAGGAGTAAGACGCCACTGCGCTCGGGGGAGACGAGGAGGACGCCCTGGAAGTAGATGGGCAGGAAGTAGATGGTCCAGAAGGATAGCAGAAACTGGCAGAACGAACAGAAGAGGACAATGGAGGTGGTCCGGTTGTTGGCGAGGATACGTGTGGGCAATGTCGGCTCCTTGCAGAAGCGGGTACTTTCGTAGAAGTGAAAGAAGCCCGTGCCCGCAAATCCGACCAGTAGGGGAACCAGCACATGCCAGGAGCGCCAGCTATACCGGGAGCCGCCCCAGGAGAGGGCAATGAGGATGGAGGTGACCGAGGCAATCAGAATGGCATTACCCACGAAGTCGATGCGGCTCATCTTCTGTCGCACTGTGAGTCGCCGCTGGAAATGGACCTGCAGAAAGAAGTACAGCAAGACGAGGGCGGCGCCGGCGATGGGTAAGTTGATGTAGAACACCCAGCGCCAGGTGGTGTTGTCGACCAGCGCGCCCCCAATAAACGGGCCCAGCGAGGTCCCCAGCGAGAAGGTGGTGAAGATGATGGCCATGAACTTGCCTCGTTCACGCACCGACACCAGGTCACTAATGACCAACTGTGTCATGAGACTGATGCCGCCGCCACCTGCGCCTTGAAGGACTCGACCAACCAGCAGCATGGCTGAGCTGCTGGCACCGCCGCTGATGCCACTGCCCAATGCAAATATTGCCACGGCCCCGATCAGCAGCCAGCGCCGGCCGAACACTTGGGCCAATTGGCCATACAGCGGTTGGAATGCGGTGCTGTGTGTGTGTGTGTGTGAGATCGCGTCCAGGATGAGATGTCCAGCAGCAGTTCATAGGGGGAGGGGAAAGGGGACACTTACAAAGTCAAGAAGTAGCCATTGACAAACCAGATATACAAATTTCCCGAGTGGAGATCATCCACAATGGAGGGCAGGGCCGTCGACACTACCGTAGACTCTAGTGCTGACAGTAATGTAGCCACGCAGAGCGGAGGGAAAATGGCCCAAAAACGCCAATCTCGCCGCGGAGGATCTGACGGTGGCGGTGGTGCTGGAGGGGAGGGAGCATTCGGGGCGGTTTCCTTCTCACTCGACATTTTGGCTCAGTATTTCTGGGGAGAGGGGAGCGTAGTTCGAAGTTCAAGTGCAGGTGCAGGTTCAGGGGTCCCGAAGCATCTTTATTCGGGAGGAAGAAGGGGGAACACTGGGGGGACTTGGGTGAATGTAACGGGCCTCCCATGCTAGCTAGGGTTGCCCATCATTCTCCAGGTTCGGAGTTAAAAGCACTTTAAGACCGCCCCTCCGACAGCCTCGAATTAGAGTTGTTTCCAGAGCCTCTCCACCAGGCGACCTTCGGCCAGTCTGTCAAACGGTAACCCATGGATGCATTCTTCCTCCAAATGACCGCCTGATGATCGCCTCGACTCCGGCGCCAGCGAGGGTGGTTGTGATTTCGCGATCCATGTCCCGAACTGATGCTGACTGCCTTCCCCCCTTGCTTCCTCCCTCCGTCCACTCGGCGCGGATAGTTCCGTTTGTTGTCCCCCTTGATCTAGGTCTGCGATACCCACCGTGGTCTATTTTATAAGTGAGATAAAGAAGCAGTTAGCTTTCTTTTCCATATCGGATGCCTGGGATATCACAATATATATAACAAAGGTAAGGAAGGAAGGTTCTGCTGGTTCCTTCGCTCTAGTAGAAGTATTTCGTTGTCCATTGCCGGAGGGGGTTATACAAAGTTCTGCATGTACATAGGCTCGGGCTATCTAATTCTCTTCTTCATGACTCTCTCTGTCTTCCACTGTAAGCATTCTTGGCCTGCATACTGGGTTGTCTGGCAACCCTCCGTAGGTATCATCCTCTTCGATGCATTATCTCACCAACGCGGTGCTGACGACCACGTCTCTGAACTGCCTGCTGCTAGACAGATGTTACAGCTGCTTTAGGTTTCTGGTGGCTTGGCCAAGACCAGTAAGGCTCGTCTGGACATTCTCCCAGCTTGCTACAGAGTCAGCCACCCCCTTCTCTGGGATCTCGCTCCCTTATAATCCTCAATGCTCTCACAAATGGAGGCCAAGATGGGGCGCGGAGGTTTCCTTTGCTGGCTCCTGAGATGACAAACTTAACCACCACGTCGAAGATCCGGCGGGCATGCGATCGGTGCCATACCCAGAAGTTGCGCTGTATCCGGTCTGAACATGAGAGGGCCTGTGTTCGATGTGCTCGCGCGAGCCTCGTCTGCGTCTTCAGTCCCCCAACCCGGCATCGCACATCGCCCAGCGAGGCCAAGAGGCTTGGGTGTTCTCAAGCTTTAAATAGCGCCCTCCATCCGACGAGGACGGGCTGCCTGTGGTCCCCCGATTCGTCCACCCTGCTGGAGCTCGACCCGTCCGTAGCGCCTCTTCATCCGGGGCTGCCATGCCCGAAGCAGGTGGGGATGCTTGACCCCTTGCCCGCCGCAACATGCGACCCTTTCACCCCGGTCGAGGGGTTCAGTTGGGACCATCTGCTGAGCACCTCACCCCCAATGGCCCTCGGGGATCTCATCCCCGGCGAGCTGGCATTGACGACCACCACCTTTTCTACCTCTACCTCCCCCTTGTCGCCCAGCCTTCCCCTCCAGACCCCGCCGGCCTCACGCATAGCCCCCAAGCCACACAGTAGTCCTCCCGAGCCCACTTCCATTGCAAACCGCACCGAATGGCTGGCAGAGCTCGCCCGCCTCAACGTCAAGCTGCTCACACACTCCCAGCAGATTGCGCACCGACAGACACGAGAAACGCCACGGATGTCCTCGCCCACCTCGGCCAGTGACCATGACTTGGATGAGGACCGACCGACCTTCGCCGTGGATCAAACCTTCCTGTTGTCTCAGCAGCTCATTGACCTCCTGAGCCAGCAGGACGCCCCGTTCGCCACCGGGGCACCCGCGCAGAGCCCGCCTCCTGGCCCACCGCAGCTGCCTCGAACTCTGCGCAGCCTGGACCCCGCGTCCATCCTGCTCGTGCTGTCGAGCCACCTGCGGGTTCTAGAAAGCTATAGCCAGATGTTTGCCCACGTTCAAGCCTGGCAGGAGCACGGCGGCGCCTCCCTCGCCGCCACGGGGATCGGGCTCCCCGCCCTCAACATCGGCGCCTTCTCCCTGCCTGCCTCCTCCCCGCGGTTGCAGATCGCCGTCATTCTGCAGCTTGCAGAGCAACTGCTCAGTCGGCTGCGCGAGATGGTCTTGCTCCCGGATGTTCCGGCACTGGCAGCCACCCGAAGCTTGTGCCATGAGATGGGCGCCAGTCACCATTCGACGGCGATGCACGAGGTGGTGTCTATCACCCTCCAGGCCATCAGTGCGCGGGAGCTAGGGATGACCAAGACGATCACTTGGATCAAGCGGTCGTTACAGGAGAGCTAGCCCCAAAGGGGGCCTTCCCGGGTGCCCTACAAGATATAGATTTACCATGTCTCATTGGAGATAGACGATGCCACGGACCGTGGGGGGTCGTGTCGGACTAATGACCACTGTTGTGGCGCATGCGCTAAGAGACACTCTGGTGTCTTTTCCGTAGCAAGCGTTGCTCTGCATTTGAATTCTCATGACGATGCTGGCGATTGCTCTGAACGACTGGATGAAGCTGATAATATATAGCTCGCGTGCATACTAGATTACCTGATCTTTGTGGGCCGTTTCCGAATCGGCGTTAGGGAAGGTCCAGGGATATCTGCAACCAATGCTCATCTTCCACATTTTCTACCTTGCTTTGATACCATCATACCCGCGCTTTGATTTGCAGCTGGGTGCAAACTTCGGAGGAAGCGGAGAATATCGGAGTCAGTAAAATGACAAGGCTCTCGAAGAAGTATGCCAACGGCCCTATGGGCAGCGTTAGAAATAAATCTACACAGCCACTCTGGATTGCCTTTTCTTAATAATTTTCTTATCAGGGAATACAGATTCTGTTACGCACGTAGGCATTTTATTTGGCAGGTGTGGCATGAGCGGATGCCACTGTTGGCCTAAGCAGATTCCAATGATATTCGGGTGGTACTGACGCTTTGCTGAGGTGTTTCATTATTCTCATATCCCTTGGTCTAAGAGTTAGGGACTCCCTGATTACTTGAGAATGGCAACTACCACGAATAATTAACAAATAATAACATCATCATTATGGTTTTTCGATAGGTATTGAATAACAGTGATAATAGTATCGTAAGACATATATTTGATCGTATGGAAACGTCACGCGCGTAGAGTTCTACAAACGCCGTGCGGGTGAATATATATGTATATATGTAGGGGGGCATTAGTTGAATAGGTACTTCCGAATACTTAACATATGCGCCCAAGTCCTTAAGTCATGAAATAATGTGGACCATAACTGAACGGTACGCTACATATTTCCTAAAGGACGAAGAAGGGAATGCACACGATCCAAGGCGAATGCAGGATAATCCTACTGCAGCCACCGTTCTCCCATCTCGCGTAATTTATACTTCTCTAACTTCCCACTCGCCGTCAAAGGCAACCGGTCTACTGCAAACACATGTTTTGGCACCATGGCCGCAGGACATTTCTGGCGCACCCACGCCCGCAACTCTTCCGGCGGCGTCTCAACGCGCAACACTACAAACGCGGCTGGCACCTCCCCATACATGGCATCCGCCAGCCCAACGACACCGACATTGGCGACCTGCGGATGGGTCAGCAAGGCATCCTCAATCTCGCCAGGGTAGATGTTTTCTCCGCCGCGGATGATGATGTCCTTGATGCGCCCGGTGATGCGGATCGTGCCGTCCACCCCCATGGTCGCCTCGTCCCCCGTGCGCAGCCAGATTCGTTTCTGCTGCGTCTGCGGATCAACTTCCTCCTCATCCACCAACAGGGTCCGTGCCGTCTCCTCTGGCGCATTCCAGTATCCGGCCATCACCGCGTAGCCGCTGATCTGCAGTTCCCCGCGCTGGTGGTCACCGCGGGGGAGTGTGCGCGTGGGGGTGTTGCGGTCAGCAATGCGGATCGCCGTGTGCGGCAGCACCTGGCCCACGGACGTGAGACGTTTGTCGAGACAGTCCAGGACCCTCGTCATGCACACAATGGGCGAGGCTTCAGTGAGGCCGTAGCAGTTGGTTAAACCGGAAAGATTCATGTGTTGGTGGAGTCGAAGGCGCAGGCTAGGGGCGATGGGGCTGCCACCAATGATGCCCGTGCGGAGGTGTCGAAGGGCCGACTTTTGGAAGACTCTATACGCTGTTAAGTTAGACGTGGTCGGGGTTGATGGATCAAAACTATGCGGAAGGAGGTGGTGGCGGGGAGTTTGGGTACTTGCCTTTGTGACATCAGGTCGAGTTCCATGAGAAACATCGTCGGGACACCGTACAACACGGTGGCATTATGCTGAGCAATGCTCTGGAGCGTGGCGCACGCATCGAAGCTGGGGGATGGCAGCAGGAGAGTCGCCCGGTGAACCATGGCAGTCAGGAGGCCAAGCACCAGGCCGAAGCAGTGGTGCAGCGGCGGGGGACAGCAGACGACATCTCCCGCAGTCAGATCCATGCCTTGGCCCACCAGGTAGGCGTTGTTCAAAATGTTGCGATGCGTCAGGCATACGGCCTTCGGGGCGGAGGTTGTACCGGACGTGAACTGCAGATTGGCCAAGTCCTCGACGCCCAGTTGGTCCTGCGGTGGCAGTCGTTGGCTGCCGTGCGCGAGGATCAGGGCCTCATAGTCAGCGGTGACGGGGAGTGTGGTGACATCGACCCGACCTGCGGAGTTGTCAATGATGAGCAGGTGCTGCAGAGAAGGGACAGTGATGGAGAGGGTGTCGGGATCGGAACTGGTCGCGATCTCCTGCAGGAGCTCGCTAGTCAGACGCGGGTCTTTGTGCGGTAACTTGATCTCGGTGCTGGTGATGAAGCAGCGCGCGGTGATGTGGTTCAAAGCATGGATAACCTGCCCAGGCAGGTAGCCAGGGTTGAGGGGGGTCAAAATGGCCCCCAATTTGAAGCAGGCGTAGGCAATCTAGACCGGCGGGCGACGAAAATGTCAGGGCTGATTCGGCCTCAGTGTGGATCAACCGCGAAGACTTACCACGGCGTACTCGATCCCATTGCCCAGACTGAGGGCCACCCGATCCCCAGCCCGAATGCCGAGCTCGATCAGTCCCAGAGCAAAGGCATCGCTCTGCGCGTGCAACTCTCCGTACGTGATGTGACGGGTGCCGCTATGTATGGCCATCCGGTCATGGGATGCGCTTACCACTCTCCGGAAACACTCGCCGATTGGCTTTTCCAAGAGGGGGATCTATCAAGCACATGAACGGTTAGGTTCCGCAGGGATAATCATAGGGCGCACTGGCACAGACAGACCTGGGCAGAACCATCAGTGCGGGCTAAGGTCGGTGTTTCGATAAGAAGAGGCATGGTGGTGGGAGCTCTCCGTCTTGGACCGTAGCCCGGTTCAACGTTGCTCTTTTTCATTGTTTCGCACGCCAAATGATGAATGTCCAAGCCAGTGTCCCGCCGAATCGGGGAGGGGGAGAAATGATCTCCCTCGCAGCTGGGCTTGCATATCGCAAGCTTCGGCTCACCGAAAATGATCGACTGCCGACGTGGTCAGCTCCCGATGCGCCATCGGCGATTGTGATACTTCGTCGTGCATGGATGACCGTCGTTCGTGGAATGCTGGCATCAACCTCATTACATGACAGAGGATGATATAGCCTGCCTTCGGGTGGGACTGACATGGGCCCATATTGTCTGGCCAAAATTCCGTGATGGCGCCATTCACGACGATCCCTGAACAGCTTACCCAGTCCATTGCGGACACCAAGGTGGAATATCGCCAAGTGGGAGGTCTGGTGGTGTCGAATCCAATCATGGGATGTATGGGGATCGGCGATCCCGAATGGTGGAATTGGGTGGTGGAAGAAGAACGAGTAGGATCCCCCTCTGGCAATAGGATGCACCAGTAGTTAATTGACAATTCTCCATCAGGCGCTGCCGCTCCTCAAAGCCGCTTTTGATCGCGGCATCAATACGGTATGTAAATGTCCTATGTTGATGCCACCCGCTGACACTGACGGCATTTCGGCTCGCTACAGTGGGATACGGCCAATGTCTACTCTAATGGCCTGTCTGAAACACTGATTGGTCGGGCGCTGCGCAAGTATCAAATTCCACGAAGGAAGGTAGTTCTAATCAGCAAAGTCGGTCGAGTGATGGCCGACGATGGCGGCGAGAAGGATGTAGTGGCATTCATGGCCCCGCTGGCGGCTAGGAGCAAGGACCTAGTCAATACCTACGGTAGGTTCAATGAGTTCACGATAACGCAGCAATCATGCTGACTGCTCTGCTCCACCTCCTACAGGCCTTTCACGGAAGAGCATCTTTCACCAAGTCCAGGAATCGCTGACCCGGCTGGGCACGGACTACTTGGACGTGATCATGATCCACCGATATGACCCTCAAACCCCGCCCGAGGAGACGATGCGGGCTCTACATGACCTGGCGACGATGGGAAAAGTGCACTACATTGGGGCCAGCTCCATGTGGGCGCACGAGCTCGTCACACTCAATTTGATTGCCGAGCGCAACGGTTGGCACAAGATCGTCTGCATGGAAAACCATTACAATTTGCTCTACCGCGAGGAGGAGCGCGAGATGAACCGGTACTGCCGTCAGAATGACATCGCACTCCTACCGGTAAGTGTATCTTGCTCAGACCCCCAATGCCCCTGCTCGAATGTCCCTTAACGTGAGCTCTATCCGGTGTAGTGGGCGCCCCTGGCCTCCGGGCATCTCGCATGTCCGTATGACGTCTATGGACAATCACCACGCACCGCGGACGACTCCGAGAATCCGCGCTTCAGCTACGGGAAGAGCCTTGAAGACCGAGAGATCATTACCCGCGTTGCCACGGTGGCCATCCGACGGGGATGGACGATGACCGAGGTAGCGCTGGCCTGGCTGAACAAGCGAGTGACCGCCCCGGTGATCGGGTTTACCAGTGTCAAACGTATCGAGGAGGCCCTGATGGCACGCGGGAAAAGGCTGTCTCCAGAAGAGGAGGCATATTTGGAGGAACCTTATCGGGCGAAAGAAATCGAGGGGCATTGTTGATACGGAAGACCGGATAGGATGGCCTGTACATGATGATGTAGTATACATGGACAGACAGGCTACACCATGATTTGAGACTGGGGTTTTGAGCGTCTTTCACTCCACCGGTAGATCTATACTTCAGTGAGAACAATCACAACCTAATCAGAGGTCTTAAACGAAGCAATTGACGGGCTTCCTACGTAACATTGTCGCTTGGTGTTGGTAGAGTACGGACAATATATATTTCGGTCACCTATGCCTTAACTCACCCTCCTTTTGTGGACGAATACAAGGAAGTCCGCGCTACTTGTATACATACTACTCTCGAAGATCTTTACTATAGCCATTTACGATGCGATAAGAGCAGAAGTGCTACCCCTGAATATCATGGGGGTCTGGCATGGCCGTGCTGCGAGCGTGGCTGAGGCGTCAACAAATTGATTGGATTCTATGAAGTACTCCACTACCACGAGGGATGAGGCGAAACCATGAAAGAGACTCAAACTCATGCAGCATGCCAGGCTCAGGATCAGCGCTATTAGAATATTCGGTACTTTCGGTGGTTCGGCGTTATGTTTAGGGCCCCTTGCGTCGGCGACGCTAATTCGGCTTGCATGCAATCTTGCGGTCGATCCCGAAATGCTGATCCAGCCAGGCAAATGTTCGATGAGCAGACAGACCAAAGGCTCCGACCTTCGCCTGCAACCCGCCCTGAGCTGCATCGGCGGCAATCCACTTGAGCTTGTCCTGGTCACGGAGATGACCGAGGGCGTTGTAGATGCGGTCCGTGCTGAACTCGGGCTTTGCGTAGAGGGCGGCGGCGGCGCCAGTGACAAACACAGGGCAGTGAACGTCAGCGAGGTACTCCTTCTCGTCGCTCCGACTGAGCGTGTAAGTCATCATCGCGCGGAAGGCGTCGGAGGGAGCCTCTACCCCGAAGATGGTCTTGAGGTGGTTGAACTCCCAACGAGCCTGGAAGTTAGCCCACTGGAGGAACCGTACCAGCCCGTTGAAGAAGCTGTCAGGCGCGCAGCCCTGGTCTGTTTCAAACATGTGGATGAGATACTCGGGCATGCGCCCCTTCATGATGTCCCACATGCAGTAAAATGGGTCGATGGAAACGCACGCATTGACCCGCGCATCGGCCGCCGCTCGCAGCGCAAAGTAACCCCCCATTGAAGCGCCACAGACGCCAATCCGGTCGAGGTCCAGATCCAACTCGGGATGCTCCCGTGCATACACTTCCAGAAAGTCCAGCACCTTACCATTGACCACCTCCCAATCCGGTCGCATCGTCAGTCCCTCACGTCGCAGAAGGATCCCCTGTCCCGGTCCCTCGTAGGTCAGAACTGCATATCCCTGCTGAACCCCCGCGGTTGGGTTGATGAAGTACAATTCTTCTTGTGTGGAGTCGCCGCCACCGATGTTGATGAGGATGGGGATCTTGCCGTCGGAGAGCCTGCGTTCGGCTGGGGGTAGATACAGGTAGCCGGGCAAGGCAATGTGCTTCTCGTAGGGAATCTCTAGACAGTGCACATCACCATCCATCAGCTGTGTCGCGCGACGAAAATTAGCGATAGCGCGTTCCAGCGTCGGCAGCACGCGCGGGTCGATGTGGCCCTTTCGGCTGGAGAGCATGTACTGCGCCGCCCGGATGTAGTTGGAGGAGCGCAGGTACGCCCGACGCGCCGTGAGACGATCTCCCCGGTCTTCGGCCTCTTGCGCCAAAGCTTCAGTCTTGCTACCTGCACGCAGCCATGCGGTGTGCCAGCTCTCTGCATCACTGTCTCGGATGGAGCCAACCGCCTGGAGCACTTCGGCGATCTCCGCACCCTCGTAAGGAGCGAATCCCAGTAGGCGCACCAACTCAAAGTCGAACCACTCAGATTTGAAGAAGTGGAACATGGCCTTTTGACTGTCCTGGGCTTGTATCTTGTGGGCCGTCATGGTGGCGGATGTACGAGATGCACGGATGAGGCGTGTAAGGGATTTAGCAAGAGAGAGGTACGGAGAAGAAGACGGATGATGGCGGAAAGGTCAGCTACAATATCTGCTTGGGAGCCTGTAGGCTTTCGACGCGGAAGGGAGGCCTGCCTCATCGTGAGGTAGGCCCTGAGATACTCTTTATAGAAATAGCTGTCATAAGCTCGGGCTGCATTCCCAGTGAAACCCCGTTCGGCGTTGGAGCCTACCGAGAAGCCCATCAGGGGTCAATACTACCAGCAGTGTGCAGAAGCATTTATCGTGGTGCCTACAGATGGCCGACGTCGGCGTTTCGTGCGCGCCGTTAGTCATATTCTGCATGTAGCGGTGTGCCTGGAGATGGCTTTCTGTGATTTTCAAGTATCTCGTGCTACTGCAGACCTGTTTCGCAGGATGATTGTAATCCTAATCTTAGAATATGCTCGGAACACATGATCGACAACGCTGTCAAGCATTCTCTGGCAATTTCTTATCCCCAATCATTTCCCCTCAGACACCCCGGGGAAGACGATCTGGGAGAGCTCGGTAAAGGGAGGAAAGACGGACTTGCTCCCCTCGATATTGATGATCCGACCATCGTGGATGTAGGCCTGGACCCATCCCAGGTGGGCTCGGGGCGGACGGTTGGCGTCCAAGAAGGGCAGTTCAGCCTCTTGCAACTTGCCAAAGTCTGGGTCTTGCGCAATAGCTCCCATAACCGCAAAGTCCGTGAAGTAGAACTCTACGCAGGCATCGTAGGTATCCAGCTCCCAGTTCCGTCCACCAACCCTCTTCCAGTCCGACAGGACCTTCTGGGCACTTTGAGGCGCGAAGTACTGCCATTGGGCATATTAGATCCTTCCGAGCAACGACTAGAGACAACAACAAAGAGATCCCTACCAACGTGTAGCCGAGTAGTCCATATTTCTGGTGAATTTTGGCTGCCTTCACCGCGTGGTCATTGGTCACGAACTCGTGCACCTCTGCCTCAGGCTTGTTAGGGTTGAAGCAATGGTAGACGCTGAGTCGGAGAACGCGTTCGGTCATGGTGGCTGCGAAACCCAGAAGGTCTTAGAGGAGGTTGAAGTAAGGATGAACCCTGTTTAAGATTTGTTCCTCAACATTCCTCCATGTTGCCTCTTTATATTGTTCCCATGACCGACTTGTTTAGAGGGACCGCTGTGCAGATTCGGCCTCGGGGCAGAGCACAGCCCTCTCCGACTGTCACTTATGCATGTCTGTTCGGCGTTTGTTGGAAAGAGAAGCAAGTGTCAGCAGGCTCACCCTCGCATATAGCCTGCACTCAAAGAAAGTATCATACAATTTTCCACTTGGCCCAATATTGAGAGGCGTGGCTAGTTCAATAAACGATCAGTCTGGCTCTCTGCTTCCCTTCAACCACACTTTGATTTGCCAGCACAACACTTCACTTTCGCTTTGATACCCAGCGATGGTTTCTGGATATGTTCCCCCAAAAGAGGAGCCGATTGCCATAGTAGGCATTGGCTGCCGTCTCCCAGGAAATGCGACGTCCCCGTCGAAGTTATGGGATGTGCTCCGGACTCCAAGGGAACTCTCCAAGAGGGTACCATCGAATCGTTTCAACATTGATGGCTTCTACCATCCGGACCCCGAGTACCCTGGTACCACCAATACCAAAAGCGCCTACTGGATGGAGGAAGACCCTCGCATGTTTGATGCTAGCTTCTTTAATATTACACCCCTCGAAGCCGAGGCGATTGATCCACAGCACCGGATGCTCCTTGAGGTCACATACGAGGCTCTGGAGTCCGCTGGAATGTCTATTCAAAAGATGCAGGGTAGCTCGACCTCCGTCTATGTCGGCAGCGTGGCGTGCGACTACGGCGATATCGTCATGAGAGATCCCGTCACTTTGTCTCAATATACCGCCACCGGGACTCACCGTTCAATCCTATCAAACCGGATATCGTACTTCTACGATTGGCGGGGTCCCTCTATGACGATTGATACCGCCTGCTCGTCAAGCCTCGTCGCTGTCCATCAGGCTGTTCGCAGCCTACGCTCAAAGGAAAGCCGAGTAGCGTGCGCAGCTGGTGTCAATCTCATTCTCGGACCGGAGCTGTTTATCACAGAATCAGCTCTGCACATGCTGTCCCCTGAGGGCCGGTGCCGCATGTGGGATGCGGGTGCAAACGGCTATGCCCGTGGGGAGGGAATCGCCGTCGTTCTGTTGAAGCGATTGAGCGACGCCCTGGCTGATGGTGATCACATCGAAGCAATTATCCGAGAGTCTGCTATGAACCAGGACGGGCGAACGAAAGGCATTACAATGCCCAGTGCTGAAGCACAGGCACGCCTGATCCAAGAAACCTACCGCAGATCTGGGCTAGACCCAACAACGTCCTGGGGCCGGTGTCAGTATTTTGAAGCCCACGGGACTGGAACCCAGGTAGGCGATGTTCGCGAAGCTGAAGCGATTGCCAGTGCTTTCTTTCCCTCACAAACTCCAGAAAGGAATGATGGTGAAAGCTCCAAGCTCCAGGTGGGATCAGTAAAGACCATTATTGGTCACACGGAAGGCACCTCGGGGCTAGCCAGCCTGCTCAAGGTAGCTTTGGCCGTCCAACATCGTGTGATCCCTCCCAATCTACACCTGGAAACCTTGAACCCAGACATTGCGCCATATTACAGTAATCTTCACGTCCCCACAACCGCGCAACCCTGGCCGCCTGTCGAGTTCGGCCAACCCTTACGAGCCAGCGTGAATAGCTTTGGATTTGGTGGTACCAATGCCCATGTGATTGTGGAGGGATATCAGCCGGAGATCCATGCCCCTGCCAATGCTGGGTATGCGGCACAGACGAGGGAGCAGGGTTGTGACCTGACTACATTACCATTGGTCTTCTCCGCCCATAGTCAGAGTGCTCTGGTTGCGATTGTGGCTCGCTTCCATCATGTCCTCCGCACCAGCAAGTCCGTCGACCTCCATCGCCTGGCGTGGACGTTGGCATGCCGCCGAAGCTCACACCCATTCCGGGCGGTGTTCACAGGATCAACACGAAGTGATCTGCTTGCCGCGATGGACGCCTCCCTCAAAAAGGTAGTTCAGGATCCATCAGCAGACTTGGGAATCCGATTGACCACATCTGCCCGCCATCCTAGAATCCTAGGCATCTTCACCGGACAGGGTGCACAATGGGCCACCATGGGCAAGGAACTGATTCTACGATGTGTCCTCTTCTGTGAGTCAATAGAAAAGCTGGATGAGTATCTACAGCTTCTCCCGGATGGACCCGATTGGTCCTTGAAAGAAGAACTCCTCAAGCCTCAGCCAACGTCACGGATCGCCGAGGGGCCGATCTCGCAGCCACTGTCGAGTGCCATACAAATGGCTTTGGTCGACCTGCTCAAAGCGCTGGGGGTGCGGTTTCATACGGTCATTGGCCATTCTTCTGGGGAGCTAGCAGCGGCCTACGCGGCAGGATACATTCGCCCCCAGGATGCCATGCGGATCTCCTACTACCGTGGGGTCTCAACCAAGTTCGCCGGCGGACGAGATGGCAGGCGTGGCACAATGCTGGCCGCTGGCCTTGGTGCCGCAGAGGCGACTGTCTTCATCAATCGCCCGTCGCTGAAAGCTCGAATTGTGATCGGAACCAGCAATTCCCCCGTCAGCGTCACGCTCTCCGGCGATCTCGAAGCCGTGGAAGAGGCACGAGCGATGCTGGAGGCCGAGGGGAAATTTGCCCGCATCTTAAAAGTTGACAACGCCTACCATTCATTCCACATGCAAGCATGTGCAGAACCCTTTCTCACCTCCATGGTAGGTGCTAAGATTGAGATCCTTACACCGGTTGAGCCCTGTAAATGGATCTCCAGTGTATACGGCCCGGATCGCACTCCCACTCCGGACGAATTGGCCGGCCCATACTGGCGTGACAACATGCTGGGATCCGTACTCTTCTGCGAGGGTCTCGAGCGTGCTATCGATGGAGGCGCGTTCGATGTGGCTCTGGAGATCGGGCCTCACCCGGCCCTGAAGGCATCAGTGGGGCAGACGTTCAAAGGTAAGACCGGAAATGGCGATGCAATCCCATACTCCGGGGTTCTGCGTCGTGGGGAAGATGACGTGGCCTCGTTTAGCGAGGCCCTAGGATTTCTCTGGCAGCACCTGGGACCCGAAGTCGTCAACTTCGACCGCTACGCCGCGTCCCTGCGGCGGGAGCCACCCAAGGTACTCAAAGGTCTACCTTCATATCCCTGGAATCACGAGACAGCCTTCTGGCGGGAGTCTCGTTCCTCAAAACTATACCTCACTCGTTCAACACCCCATGAATTGCTGGGCAATCGTTGCCACACCGAGAGCAGCGACACTACACTGCGCTGGAGAAATGTGCTTACTTCGAAGCAGCTTCCCTGGCTCGAGTCCGTTCGTGTACAAGGGACAGTGACGCTTCCCGCGTCGATATACTACCTCATGATCATCGAGGCCGTTATTGCGTCTCCATGGGGCCATCAGTGTCGCCTCGTGAGTCTGCACGATGTCAGGATTTCTCATCACGTCAGACTCGCCGATGCTAGCGAGGGAGCAGACTTGACCATCACAGTGGTTCTACCCAGTTCAAATGACGATGATAAGAATAGCGCGGCTTTCTACATCATTTCTGCCAACGACGGTATCGAAGTATGCAAGGGTAGTGTCACCATTGGGATGCCTGATGACAATCAGGCCTCTCCTCCCTGTTTCGCTGGACAAGCATACACCCAACATGTCGACAAAAGTCAAATTTACAACTGGCTCGAGCACGGGGGGCTACAATATGATGGACCCTTTTGCGGACTACTCTCGGCCACTCGATGCCTGGATCATTCGTCAACACAGTTCGTGGATTCTTTCCCAGAGAGCTTTACTACGTTGCTCGCCAATCCCAGTGTGCTAGAGTGTGCGGTACAATCGGCCCTACTCGCATTTGCCGGCCCAGGTGACCAGTAAGTGTTCAGGACAAAGATCAGATATGTAGCGCATCCTAATGACCATACAGAGATCTCTGGACCGCATTCCTACCCAAGCAAATCGAACGGATCACTATTCACACGCCTTCGTTGCCTAGTGGTCGCGGCACGGTCCTGACAGCTCATGCCCAGGTCACAGACACACTTCCAGCAGACGCGGAACGACTGTCGCCCAGTTTCACTGCGGACGTGCGAATTTGGAACGAGACTGGCCAGCCTTGCATTGAAATTGAAGGGTTGACACTGGCTTCACAGGGAACACCGGGGCAAGATCGCCGGTTGTATGTGCAAGAAACATGGGACTATGATCTCCAGTACGGAGTCGCAGTTCCAGGAGAGGGGATGTCCTATCAGCAGATCAGTGGCCGCGTCCTTAGGCAGTTTGTGCACTGTAGGCCACAAATGCACGTTCTGGAGATTTGTCCCGGATTCGCTAGCTTGATGCTGGTTTCATCCAACAGGCAGATCCTGTCATCATTGGTGTCATATACGGTGGCAGATACCGAGAGTCCCTGGTCGCGTCAAACTCAAATCCCCGGCGAATACCATATTCAGCAATTGGAGATAGCTGACCAGCAACTGGACCCGGAGGAATGGCAGGAGCACAGCTTTGATATCATTGTCATCCAGCCTACGCTTTATTATCCTCAGCACTACGACAAACTAGCGGGGTATCTCGGGAGCCTTGTTCGAACGGCAGGCTACGTGATTTGCCCTTCGGCACCTACTTGGCAAGATAATGATCACCTACTCCAGGCGGCATGGTCAGAGCGTGTGCAGTGTGCGGGATTTAGTCCGATCAATAGCGATGCGGCGGTGACGGTGTTTCAGCAAGGGAAACGGGAGACCAGCGGTCTGGTGGCCGGAGGATATCAAATCGGCCATGAGACATCGTATCCACAGGGCCAGGTCATGGTTGTTGGAGGTATGCAATCGAAAGCGTCCGGCTTTGTCCAAGAGTTGACAGCGATGTTGTCCGGACCGAACGTAAACGTGGTGCACGTCCCCTCGTTCCAGGACGTCGATCTCCTTGCGGTATCTAATATGGCTGGTCTCTTGGTTTTGGAAGACGTAGAGGCGCCTATCTTCACTCAGCCCAGCGAGGAGAGACTAGCCATCGTGAAGGCGACGCTTTCACAATCACCGGTAACTCTGTGGTTGACCAGTGGCCTTTGCGCTGGCAACCCTTACCATTCTGCCTCCTTGGGATTGGGTCGCACCCTGCAATCACAAATACCACAACTACGCCTACAGTTCCTTGATATCGATACCCTAGATGGAATGCACACTACAATCACCGAGATATTCTGTCGCTTGTTAGCCTCCAGAAGTGCAGACCAGCCTGGATCTTTCGAGTCCGAATTGAGGTTAAAGAACGGGAAAGTCCTGGTGCCCCGATTGCAGCCTATTCAGGAGCTCAATGATCGTTCTGAAACTTATCGTCGTCCGGTGCAACGATCGGTTGACATTGCGGAGCAGCCGATCCAGCTACAGTCGACCGGGCCTGGCCTTGCTTATGAAGCGATCCAGATCTGTGCCAGGAAGATTGATCTCTCGCCTCACGACTTAGCATCGACAGTCCGAGTGTGTTGTGCTACGCAATTTGGGATCAGAATGGCAGACCATACCGATTCCTTCTTTCACCTTGCCATTGGAGCTGATCTCTCAACAGGGACACATTTCATCACGCTACAGGACTCCATAGCATCAATCGCTAAAGTTCCGTATCCCCTTACCTGCCCCATTCAGGCTACAGGTATATCTTATGATCGGTATCTGAGCCTCTCTGTTCGCTGCTTGGTGGCACAAATGCTGGCCGATCGATCTTATGGAGATGTCACGACAATCTACGACCCCAAGGAAATGTTGGGAGGTCTGTTGCAGGATCTGTATACCGGTACGCACCAACGCCTCGTCTGCCTCACTCATGGCCCCACCGGATTCAGACGGGGTGCACAGTGGATCCATATATCGCCACGGGCTATGGTCAGTGAGATTCGCGCCGCCACCCCGCGCGATACGGGCTACTTTGTCGATTTGTCCTGCCAGGCTGGCCTAGCCACGAGTCTACCGAAGTCTCTCCCGCGGAGATGCCATTATCTTTCAGCGGCAGACCTTGTCTGTGTGAATCCAGAGCCGACATCCTCTTCGAAAGATCACTGGTCTACGTTTCAGTCATCACTCCAGTCTGCGGTTCGGCATGTTGAGTCTTTAGCCGAGGACCGTTGCGGGTCTCCGATTACCCTCATTGATGTCCAAGATCTGCTGGGCCGCAAGGCTCCACACTGTGGTGACCCGTTCAGCATCGTTAATTTGGACTTTAAAACGCCGGTTGTTATCTATGACAGACCGATTGATCCCACTGATCTCTTGTGTTCCCAGGGAACGTATCTGCTTGCCTCAATGCCTCATGCCCTGGAATACTCCCTTTGCAGGTGGATGGTCAGCATTGGGGCCCGGAACTTCATTCTTTTACACCAGTATGGTTTTCCTGATGCCTCGCAGGTTCTCTCACTAACACAGGGGCCTAGAAGACTTTCGGTCGAGGGGGATTATGGGTGGATCGAAGAACTACAAAAATCCGGGGTTCATATTGATGTGGTGGAAGTTCCAACCTTGGGCTGCAAGCATCAGGTCATAAAGGCACTCTACGCTGTGACTGAGGCACAACGCCCTCCCATTGAAGGGGTCTTTTATGGCCCGGCCTTGGGGGATGAATCTGTGGAAAATCAGATGGCCGCCATCAATATCATCCACGATGTTTTCTCCAATCCGACTTTGGCCTTCTTTGTGGCTCTGTCATCGGCGTCCAGGATTGCTGGCAGTAGCTCACCTTCCACTGAGCCGACCACGGTCGTGAATATGGTCAGTAGTCGCAGTCCTCCAACAAGCCCCCTCACTGACAAACGGCTGGTCTAGTACATGGCGGGTCTGTGCCGTCAACGAAAGGCGAAGGGGTTGCCGTCCTCTGTGCTCGACCTGAGTCCCATTGTTGGCATTGAACGACCCAGTGACGAACGGGACTTGGGCGCTATTTCGGAACGCGATTTCCACCGGTCATTAACGGAGGCCATCCATCTCGCTCGTGATTTTTCTGACCCCCTCAAGGTGGATTTAATCGTGGGATTACAGCCGGCGAGAAATATAGAATATTTACCAGCTCGTTTCGGACACCTGTTAACTGCGGCCCGGGAACTTGGTGAAAATAACGAGAAGCAAGACAAGGTCTCACCATTACAAGACGTGCTGTCCCCGGAGAAGTCTGAACGCCAGGCAATCCAGGGACTGTGCCCTGTGCTTACAGAGTACCTGGCTGGCCTATTGCGATTGTCTGCGAAAGGTATAGCGCGCGACACAGTGATTCTCGACCTGGGAGTAGATTCACTCGTGGCTATGGACATCCGAGCCTGGTTCTCCAAGGAGATGCAGGTAGATATTCCCGTGTTGAAGATCCTCGCAGGCGCATCGGTTGAAGATTGTATGCATCTCCCTTCCCCATAGTAACCACATCTCTAAGTGGGACACAGTGTGTCAGTATGCAGTAGCCGAGTTACGAAGTGCTCCTGAACAAGCGCCATCGAGCACCGTATCCAGTCCCAATCGAGGGCAGCCACGCGGTGACATATTGACGCCCACAACGGATGACGATGAGGTTGATCTTGCCTTCCCCAAATCAGCCGTCGAGCCGATGTCGTTCGGGCAAACTACGATCTGGCTGCCCTACGTTTCGCTGGAGAATAAAACCGCGTACAACTGCACCACCACGTACCAGCTTCGTGGCCCCCTGGATATTGACCGCTTTGAACTCGCCCTTCACGCTGTCATCAGACGCAATAGCTCCCTACGTACTGCTTTCTTCACCGATGAGGCCAGCGGAGAGGTCTTCCAGCGCGTCGAGGCATCTTCTCCGTTCCAGCTACGTCAAGTGGCTGCAGCACCTTTTGAGAATGCTGCTGCGGAGATTGAGGCCGAGAAGAAGCTCGTGGCTGACCATGAATACAACCTCGAGCGAGGGGACAACTTCATCGCTACGCTCCTCATCCACGGCGGCTCTCCTGCAAGCGTGCACACCATTATCTTCGGCTACCACCATATCATCATGGATGGCGTGAGCTGGCAGCTGTATCTGCAGGACCTGCATCAATGCTATTCCGCCCCAGATGTAGACGCCGTACCTCCTGTGGGGCAATATATCAATTTCGCTGCACATCAAAGAAGGTCCCTTGAGAGTCCTGCCACCCGGGAGCACCGCCGGTTTTGGAAACAGGAGTTTGTGAACCTGCCACAGCCTCTCCCCATTCTTCCCTTCGCCAAAAGGTCGACACGCAAGAGTCTGAACCGCTACGACAATATTGAGCTCATTATCGATCTGCCATCGGATCTGGTCCGGCGCATCAAGAATTTCACCACCGCCGCACGGGTCACGCCGTTCCACTTCTATCTTTCCGTTCTGCAGGTCTTACTCCATCGCCTGTCAGAAACTGATGATTTCTGCATTGGAATCGTGGATGCGAACCGTACCGATGCAGCTTTCGTGGATGCTATCGGGTTCCTGATCGATATGCTGCCGCTGCGCTTCCAGCTGAGTAGAGACCAATCCTTCAGTGACCTACTCACTGCAACGCGATCCAAGGTGTATGCCTCCATGGGTCACGCGGGTGTCCCGTTAGATGTTATCCTCAAGGACATCAATGCGCCGTCCCTCTCGGTCTGTCCACCTCTCTTCCAGGCGGTGCTGAATTACCGGCTCGGAGTCCTGGGGCAGAAAACCATTGGAGACGTCGCGCTCGACTGGTCAACCTACGAAGATGCCAATCATCCATTTGACTTCATCCTCACCGTCGATGAGAATGACGGGGAGGGCTTCTTAACCCTGTCCGTGCAAGAATACTTGTTCGACCGCACTGCTGGAGACTCCCTGCTCTCGACCTACATCCACCTCCTCGAGACATTTGTGGGTCATCCCGGTTTAGAAATCGGCGCAGGTGAAATATTCAGCCCCCGCCAGATCGAGGCGAGTACCGCGCTTGGAAAAGGGCCTATAACGTCTTTTGGGTGGGCGGACACCTTGTCCCTGCAGATTGATAGTTTCGTCGCCACGCAGCCACAGGCCATGGCAATCAAAGACCCGTCGGGAATTCTGACGTACAAGGGAATGTCCGACCGAATCGATCAGATTGCACATGCCCTTTTGACCGCAGGCGCCCGGGTCGGTACACATGTCGGCATGCTCTGCAACCCGTCTAGCGACGCCATCTGCTCGCTGTTGGCGATTATGCGGATCGGAGCCGTCTATATCCCCTTGGATGTGCGCAACTCAACCGAGCGTTTGATGACGATTGTGAGCGAATCCCAAGCCGGCTTTATTGTGTGCCACTTAGATACCCTTGATCGCCTCCGGGAACTGCAGCTGGATGCCAATGTGCAGCCGGTCGACATCACGAAGATAGATAAGCCGGCACATCCGATCCCAAATGCGTCGACGGCTGATGGCAGAGCCTTTATTATGTTCACCAGCGGTACTACGGGGAAGCCGAAGGGGGTCATGCTACGGCACTCCAGCTTCCTCAACCATGTCGCTGCCGCCAGCCGAGCGATGAACTTACACCAGAGCCGAGAAGTCGTCCTTCAGCAGAGTGCGTACGGCTATGATGCCTCGCTCGCCCAGATCTTCTACGCGCTTGCGAACGGGGGATCTCTCGTGGTCTCCAGCAACCGTATCGACATGTCGGATCTGGCACAGTTGATGTATGAGGAAAACATTACCTTTGTCCTAGGCGCGCCGTCTGAGTATTGTGTCCTCTTCCAATACGGCCGCGAGTGGCTGGAGAAGTGCTCCAATTGGCGCATTGCCATGTGTGGTGGTGAGGCCTTTGCAAACCATCTTCGCCAGTCCTTTCAGGACTTACAAAATCCTCTCCTGCAAGTGTTTAACGCGTACGGACCCAGCGAGATCTCCGTCGCGTCCTCCTTCGGTGTCGTGCCGTACGATCGCGAGTCAGTGCAGGACGACTCCCCCGCGGCCATTGGCCCTGCAATCACAAATTACGCAGTCTACATCCTGGACCCCGAGACGGCGCGGCTCATGCCTCCTGGTTGCAGTGGAGAAATCTGTGTTGGGGGACCGTCTGTTAGTGAAGGGTACCTGCACAATGAAACCCTCACCGCTGCGAAATTCATCACCGATCGTATCTCTGGGCTTGAAGAACCGGGCTGGGGTCGTTTATACCGCACTGGTGACCAAGGCCGGATGCTCAATGACGGCTCCATTGTCTACCAGGGCCGCATTGCCGGCGACTCGCAGATCAAGCTGCGCGGCATCCGGATTGAGTTGGAAGATGTCTCGGCCTCTCTTCTTCAGAGCGCCCACGGAGTTCTGTCCAATGCCGCGGTCGACTCCTCTGGAGAGCGTGAATCCATGTTTTTAATCGCCTTCGTCGTCTTCATCGTGGGCAGGACGCCCGCGAATCCAGCGCGCTACCTGCGCAACTTGCTCGCCACCTTACCATTACCACTCTATATGAGGCCTTCGGTAGCTATCCCGTTGCCCGGACTCCCTCGTAACGCCAGTGGCAAGCTCGATCGCCACGCCTTGAGGGCAATCCCCTTGCCAGAAGACCTTTTCACCGACCGGGAAGACACACCACTCACCGAGACGGAGGCTAAAGTGAAGGGGATCTGGACGAGCATTCTGTCCGAAATCGGAGTGCGACTCCAGATCCGCAGAGAGTCGGATTTCTTCTCGGTGGGCGGCAACTCACTCCTACTGCTCAAGATGCAGCGGCAGATCAAGGACACCTTGCATCGGGACATACCGCTGGCGGAGCTCTTTCAAAACACCAGCCTGGAGAGCCTGGCGCAGCGTCTGGATAGCATGGATACGGCTGAGGCAGCAGCAGTAGCCCATACGGGCTTGGACTGGGCAGCAGAAACGGCCCTCTCCCTAAGTCTCAAGTCCGTCCAGTCGAGCTACTGCAATATCCCTGAGCTGCGGGAAGTTGTCTTGACCGGATCCACGGGTTATCTCGGCCACTGTCTGCTACAACACCTGGTGGCGTCGCCGCACGTCTCCCGAGTGCACTGCATCGCCGTGCGGCCGGCTGGGGAGGGCCTTGGACGACAGGCCCCAGCGATGAAGTCCGACAAAGTCATCATTTACACTGGAGACCTGTCTGCCCCCCGACTGGGTCTCTCCGAGGAGGGGGCGACCCAGGTATTCAGTACCTGCCACGCGATCATTCACTGTGGCGCCGATGTCTCGTTCATGAAAACATATCACTCTCTACGGGGGCCAAATGTCGAATCTACACGCGAGCTGGTCCATATGGCCCTACCACGCCGAGTGCCCTTTCACTACATCTCCACTGCAGGAGTAGTCCATCTACGCACGGCTGACAGCTATGATGAGGAATCCGTCGCCGAATTCTTGCCACCGGTGGATGGCTCCGATGGTTATGTCGCCTCCAAATGGGCCAGCGAGGTCTATCTCGAAGCTGCTCATCACCAGCTGTATCTCCCCGTCTCCATTCATCGTCCATCCAGCATTGTCGGCCCGGGCGCCCCGCCGCTCGATATCATGAACAACGTCTTGGCCTTCTCGCGCAAGATGCGCGCGGTTCCCCACGTGCCCGGATGGCATGGCTACCTAGACATGGTAGAGGTGGACGCAGTCGCGAAAAATATCCTTGACACGATGCTGATGTCTGATTGGAATCATACACCTGCCGTGCACTACTTCCATGAGTCCGGGCAGACTGTGGTCCCCGTCGAACTTGTGCGGGAGTATTTACAGAATTCAGAGGGCGGGGAAAATGAGTTTGAGACTCTGCCTCTAGATGAATGGATTGCTCGGGCCCGAGGTAACGGCATGAATGAACTGGTAGCCGGTTTCTTGACCCTGATGCATGAGACCGGACAGGGGCCGTCGATGCCCGCTTTGAAGACAAGTCGGGTTTACCGAACAGTCTGAAGTCATTACTACTTTAGGTAGTCCCGCGATTGAATCCAATAGAGTTTATTTAAGTTTGCATTCCTGTCTTCCTCTGTAAGAATACCTTAAGGATCCTGGAGCTGTAGAATCAGAGGACAGTCGCAAAGCGTAGCTACATGTTAAAGAGATGTACCGTGGAAGGGAGCAACGTTACAAGGTGACTGGGAACAGGCTAAGCATACGATTTGGGCGATATAAACTATCCTAGCAGCAAGAGAGCCCTTCATGACAGGCTCAACCAGTACGCATTCCTACTTGCTCCGATGAACAACTAGCAATCCCGTACCAGAATGATCGGATGTTCCGCAATGCTGCTGCCTTGCAAGCCCTGGAATCACCTGATGACTGCCAGGTATGTGAGCAGCCCGAGCCATAAAGACAACAAACAAGAACGCAGACTTTCGTCGACCCCTTGAGCACTGCAATAGCCTGGTCCCTACCTCCAAACATGGCTTCACCTGCAGTTGACTACGATGTCCTCATCGTTGGAGCCGGCATTTCTGGCATTACCGCGGCCTACCGGCTTCAGACCGAACTGCCCGATCTCACCTTTACTATCCTCGAGGGTCGGGCCACATTAGGAGGAACTTGGGATTTCTTTCGCTATCCTGGCATCCGATCAGATTCGGACCTGTTCACCTTTTGCTTTCCCTGGCACGCCTGGGACCAAGCATATCCCATCGCCGAGGGCGCGACCATTCTACAGTATATCCAACAGGCTGCCTCGAAGCATGGCATCGACCGTCGGATTAAATTTCAGCACCGGGTGACAAGAGCGTCATGGTCCTCGTCCGACCAGGTCTGGCACCTGACTGTCGAATCGCCAGAGGACACAAGCATCTACCGCTCCCGGTTCTTGATCCTGGGTACTGGGTTCTACAACTACAGTCAGGCCCTCAAGACCGAGATCCCAGGGTTACAACAGTTTCAAGGGACGGTGGTGCATCCTCAATTCTGGCCTGACGGACTGGATTACCGTGACCAGAAGATCGTCGTCATCGGTAGCGGCGCGACCGCAATCACCATGATCCCCAAGCTGGCCGAGAAGGCAGCGCATACGACGATGCTGCAGCGCAGTCCGACCTACATCGTGTCGATGCCGAACCGGCAGATACCCAGTGTGTCTTCCTGGTTGGCACGCTGGCTGCCTCGTCCCCGTTTCTACTGGGTGCAGCGCTTCCTGTCGCTCGTGTACACGCGGCTCTTCATCCTCTTTTGCGAGCGATGGCCGCATTTAGCCCGCGCCTATCTGCGGTCTCACGTCCGACGCCAGTTACCCCCGGCGGTGGCCTACGACCCGCATTTTGCGCCGCTCTATGCGCCGATGGAGCAGCGGCTGTGCGTGAGCCCAGACGCTGACTTCTTCCGCAGCTTGCATACAGGTCACGTTGGCGTGGTCACGGACACGATCGAGACCTGCACGGCCACCGGGATCCAGCTGCGGTCCGGCCAGCATCTTGACGCCGATTTGATTATTACCGCCACGGGGCTCCAGATGCAATTTGCAGGAGGAGCCCTGCTTGATATCGATGGCGTGCCGGTGGATCTGTCGTCAAAATTCATCTGGAACGGCATGATGCTACAGGACGTCCCCAATGCGGTCGTCGTCAATGGATATACCAACGCGTCGTGGACCTTGGGCGCCGATGCAACCATGATTGCAATCTGCCGGTTGATTCAACTCCTCCACGCCCGCGGGCACACCGTCGCTGTGCCACGCGTAGATCCCCAGGGGCCGCCTCTCACTCCACGGCCCACGTTTGCCCTGACGTCGACGTATATCCACGCCGCGGCGCGCTTTATGCCGCGCGTAGCCGCAGAGAAGCCCTGGCAACGGCGCGATAACTATTTCACCGATCTGTGGTTTGCCAAGTATGGCGACTTGGAACAGGGGCTCGAGTTCATCCCCGGCAGCGGGTTCAGCAGGGCCACAACAGGAGGCGGAGAGAAACCGAAGGAGGTGAAGCGCGATTAGGCTTCTTCCATCTACACCGGTAGTGAAATGTCATTGGCGCATTCTTCTACCAGGTATGTGAGTGTTTCGCCGAAGGGGCCTGTCCGGCCTGGTGTTGACTGCGTCGGACATTGATTCGGCGCACCTCCTTACATGGCCGCCATGCCATCGCTCGTGGCGCTATTACCACGACATCTTTCACTTATCCCCACCCTCCTCACATCCCCTCTCCCCTCTTCTACCCGCTCATATTATTCTCAGAGGACGTGTTCATCGTCGATAGAGCCTAGCGAATTCCATTGAATTTACTCCTCCCTCCACAAGAATCCATTCCCTACTTCCTACAGAGTAGAAAAATGTCTACCGCGCTCTCCAGTGCGTCCGACTTCGGCACGGCCGTCCTCCGCCTGAGCCCCCTGATGATTTCCTCGGCCAGTCTGATGTGTGCCATTGACCAACAAAACGCCTTCCGGTCCTTTCTGACTCCTAAGCTTGCCAACCGACCCGGCCACGTCTCCGGCAACCTGGTGCATGACTGGTTCCCCGCCTTCGCGCGCACCACCAAGTGGGTGATTTTGCTGGCCTATCCCCTGGCCGGCGTGGTGGCCGTCATCAATAGCCGCGCCCCCGGTATCAATCCGCAGACCCGTTACTTCTACTACGCCGGGGGAGTGTTGAGTGTCGCGCACTACTACTTTGGGGCCTGGAGCATGTACTGGAACAGTCGCATCTGTTCCAAGGAAAAGATCGGCCTCCGCAACGAAGATGGACTACGCGGCTGGCTGGGGAATAATTGGCGGCGCATGTGGTTGGTGAATATTCCGGCATGGCTGATGTTTGTATGTGCCACAGCGACGTTTGTGAGGGTTTAGATGGGCTGTGGTAGGGAGGGTAGGGAGTGGTGTCGGCACTTATTCCAGAGGGGTATTTCCCATGCCTGGTTTGTGGATTTAGAGCTTCGATTCAGCTAGTCAACGCAAGTGTTCTTACTGGTGGCATGAGATAAACGGATTATGTATTCTCAAGGTACTTTCCTGTGAGTGTATGGCGCACTGGTTGGGTTCGTCCTGTTTCTGACCAGCTCGTAAGGCCAGCCGCTAATATTCCCCTGTTGGGACCGAATATTTGCAATATAGATATTGCAGTGCATCAGCCAGTCATCATATTCCCCTGAGATATTGACCAGGATCTTCTGGTTTTGATCTACAGTAGTAGGACTTGCGGCACTGGCCTGCAGAAGGATCCCCCGGACGGACGTCCTTGGGCAAAGCCTCGTCACCAAGCTGGATCGCATGATTGAGCGTCGGTGCAACCTGTGAGTGTGCGGCTTTTCCCTTCGAGATAGTCACTTCTGCAGGACGGAACTTGTCCGGCCTTTAACGCCGACGTCCCCTTACAGGGGGTGATCCTCCGAACCGGTACAGGACATAAATATCCTACCGGCACATCTGTCTCATCAGTCGACTACAATCAGCGACCATGGTGGCTCAAGCAGCCTTGGGCTTGCGACTCGCGCAGTACCGCGCCAACCAGCTGGACATCTATGAAAGAGGCATGCTCCGTAACGAATACCCACGAGTCACCACAGAGACCGCGCGCATCGTCGAACAAGCGAAACAACATCTCAGCGCGGCCGCCTTCAATTATTGTGAGGCGCCTCTCCCCACTACTGGAGCATTACTGACGGGCGGGTGACGATGTACGACAACAGTGCATGGCGGCGCCGGTGAATTGGCAACCCAAGAGGCGAATCGCGCGGCCTTTCGGCACTGGCGGGTACGAGGGTTCTGTTCTGGCTTCCACTTGATCTGATCCAACCCAAACCTCCCTCTCTAGTTAGTCCCTCGGATGATGATTGACACTTCCCATCGCACCCTGGAAACATCTTTGTTTGGCGAGACATACGCATCTCCTTTGATCCAAGCCCCGGTGAGCTCCAAGGAGCCTTCGTTTTCATCATTCTCGTCTCCGCTGACACCCTCGATTTCATGGCAAGCCAGATTGGCGTGCAGTCCATCTTCCACCCGGACAAAGAAACCGGACTAGCCGCAGTCTGCTCAGAGCTGAGTATCCCATTCGTGCTCTCTACCGCCGCAACTAGCACCATTGAAGAGGTCGCGCAGCATAGCGGCCCTGGTCCTCGCTGGTATCAGCTGTACTGGCCGACTGACGATGAGATCACCATCTCCCTTCTTCAACGCGCTCGCGCGGCCAATTATAGTGCCCTGGTAGTGACGGTCGACACTTGGACGGCGGCCTGGCGCCCCCTCGATCTCGACCGCGGCTACCTGCCCATGATTGCCGGTGTGGGCAACCAAGTTGCCTTTTCCGACCCCGTCTTTCGGCGAAAATTCCGTGATGCCTACGGCAAGGAGGTGGAGGATGACATCCCATTTGCCAGCCGGATGTGGTTGCAGATGATCATTTCCGGAGTGGCATCAACCTGGTAGGGCGGTTTCCCCCCCTGCTGCGGGGCCATCCAGGTAATGGCCATCGAGCTAATGTCACTTCCCAGGGAACGACTTCCATTCCTGCGTCAACACTGGGATGGTCCCATTATCCTCAAGGGCATCCAACATCCGGATGATGCCCGTATGGCGGTGCGTGCCGGCTGTGACGGAATCATTGTATCCAACCACGGGGGTCGGCAGCTAGACGGCGCCGTTGGATCCCTCGAAATGTTGCCGTCTATTGTGGAAGCGGCAGGTGACTCGTTGACCGTGCTCTTCGACTCGGGTGTCCGGACGGGCGCCGACATCCTCAAGGCTCTATGTCTCGGGGCCAAGGGGGTACTCGTGGGACGACCTGTGATGGCTGGGTATGCGATTGCCGGTAAGTTCTTCTTCTCCCCACTAGTCGATGAATGTGGAATGAAGAACCAGCGGATATGCTCACATTATGCATGACAGGGAAGGAGGGAGCAAAGGAGGTGTTGCTAGGCTTGCTTACGGATCTCGACCGCTCCATGGGTTTAGCAGGGATTCCCTCGCTGAAGGCTTGTACGCCGGCGGTCTTGAAAGCGAGGTCAATGCTGTGATGTAAGGCAAAACAACATACAACAACAACGGGTCTACATATTTCTGGCATGTCGTCTGCATTCAGCCTAGTACCTATCCTGTGGTTAACATCGTACAACCCATTTGCAGCCACCTTCATGTCCACCATGCCGACGCTTGTCTCAATATAATGACACCCTAATTGATTAAGAATATAATCTATACCTCGTTGAACTGAAAGCTTATATCGATGCATGTTGCTGGTGTAAATTAGTATATTAAATAGGCGGGTCGATTAGTATTGGTTATAAATGATACTTCACTTCGCTATACGAGGAAGGAATATTCTAATGGTATATACATATATCATGGACATATCTTTAGGAGCATTCTTCCCATGTTTTGACCTTGTTTCATGAAATGGTTTCATGTCTGTATTAGAAGTATCGCTATTCTTCATCTACGTACCGAAGACTTTAATCTTAGCGGCGATTGTTGAATGAAAGATGAAGCCATACACTCAACAATACACTGCTATTGTGATACCGAGCAGTATTCAGAGACATGTGACTAGATCATATATTATATTTATATTTTCTTTATTTATCTTATTTTATTATATTTATTTATTTTTATCATTTATATATATTCTTTATACTTCCTTCTTCCATTTCTCATGTTTAATATTGTAAATTCCAGTAGATTTATTTATGTAAATATAATTAAATACAAATAGAGTTACATTGATATAACATATGATTTTATTTATATTATATGTTTTACTAATTCTTTATTTTTTTATTATTAGATCCCCCCTGTTCTGAATTAAAATTATATAAAATTATTATAATATTAAAGCCAGATAACTCGTCCGAGTAAAGAAAAATATTATTTATAATAAAATAATTTAACTATTAGAAGTAAGGCTTATTAGAAAAATATAATATAATAATTGATAAAGTCATGAGATTACTAATAATTAATAGCAGGTTTATACTTTTTTTATATTTATAAAGTACTGATTGTTCAGGAATTAATTTATTTTCATAGATATAGACTGTCTTTATTGTTACTCGATAAAACTATAATATTTAGTGATTAATTCCTTACCTAGTTAACAGGCCTTCAACTCTGACAAGTAGATTCTATCACAATCTGATAACCAAATCTAAAGATAAAAATTATCATTTTTAAATATTTATAACTCCACAGAATAATTGACTAAGAAAATGAAAATTATCTCAATATATTCTGTGTATAGAGTATTATTAAATAATACTAATTTTAAACTTATCAGACAATATTTGACTGTTGTGCTGTTGTGAAGACTTCCCTAAATGCCCTACTAGAGTATAAGGAACATGCCTTTAGCGGATAGCTCAATCAATCATATGATTCAGAGGACACCGATCCAGTCTAGACTATGGACTGGCAGTGTTAAGAACAGTAAACGCAGTAGCCCCTTGGTACTAGCGGACAACTCAATCTCTACATTTTAACACTTACAGTTTTGTGAACAAAGCCACTAATTCCTGGCAAAAATGTGTGTGTGATAGACTAGAGTACAATGAATCATATGTTATAGTACGTAAAGACGGTAATGACATTTATAGATAGCCAGGGAGATTATACAAATCAACCGCTCACCCCCTACCCCGCTTCAGAAGAAACAGCCGTGATCCTATGGAACTACTTGGGCTGAAGGTTAGCTGCATTCTAGTTTAGGATAGAAAAGTCGCAGTCTTAATAAGCATTATGGAAAACCATAAGTAAGCAAAACCATCATCATGGGCGTAATCATAAGCATAATCATGACCGTAATCGCAGGCGTAACAGCACTAACCTAAAATAGGGAGAGAAAGAGGTTAGCGGTACTAGCATACACCATATCTCATCACAAGCGTAGGCATTTACCTAAAATAGGGACAAAAGAGGTTAGCGGTACTAGCATACACCATATCTCAATCACCCCACAGTAGTCCTAGTCCATTGCAAATATATGTCTTGTGATAGTATCCATGCAACCGCCTACACTATATAATCAAGAAGAGTTTCAGAAAAGATATTTCAAATTTCCTAACTACTTATCGCATTCAATTATATATCTGAGGTCCTCGAATATATCTCACATTATATGGTTAATGCGGTATGTGACAGCAGCAGTGGTGAGAGCCCCGCTTGTTTATGCCGTGGATATTCGGCTGTACTGGAACATGTTTGCTGCTGGTTGTGATGATACCAGCTCATATTCCCAGTGCTCTAATATCGCGGCTGGGGTCTGTTGCTCCTATACCAGCGGAGTTTTTGCAGTGAAAGGTATTGGACTGGATACCGTCAGTGTACCTGATCAAGTGCGAAACCCCCATTCTGTCTTTCGAAAACCTTGTAGTGCAGTTCACCTTTTATAAGACTATTTCACTTACTATATCTTTTTCCTAAGGTATCCGCATTTATCAGTGCTACAGGACAATGTAAAAGCGCCTATGAGTCCGAAGGCGGACAGAGTACCGAATATGTTGATTGCAGTTTCACTATTCTGGGAGGGGGTACTTGGTTCCACTACAACAAGAAAAGAGCAGCTATGGAGACGACGCATACAGTAATAGCTGATATAATCGGCTTGTATAACACTTCCCTGGGCAGCCACCGCCACTTTAACATAAGCTCCGGGGTGCCTGAGGACATCATTGCTGAAATTGATTCGGCTGCGAGGAACAACACTCGGGTCGAGAATCTCTCCTGTCGTCCTACCATATGAGATTCATTGAAACTCGATTACATTGAACCGTGACGGGTAATTCAGTACCCCGAACACCTAACGTGCGCTTGGAGTTCAGGAAATAAAAAGAATGCCGATGCAATTATACCATAATCTAGGATTAACTGTTCCTTGATTCGTTTGTGAAGAGCCAGAGTTGGGAAAATTACCCGGATCCTGACGAACGTCTACAGTGTAATAATGCCGAGATTCGAGTATATAGAGCCGTTGCGCAAAGCCTTTCTTTACAAAATCCTTATGAAATATAAATGCAACGAACCATGGGTTTAATATCCAATGTAGATAGCGTAAAGACGCAGATTTCTCACAACTCTACCAGGGTCATTGGAGTCTAAAGTGATCCGGAAACCAAATCACAAACTCTGTGAAATGAAACATGATCTTAGAGAGCGGGAGTCAATGTCTGAAGGAGCAAGGTATCTGAGCAGACACTGTATTGACAGGGACTTTTAAGACCTCGGTAGTCCAGCAAATAATATCGAAAGGAGGGTAGGAAGAATGGGAGCCGTGCATCTTTGCTCCACTAACGTGCTTGTGATAACCACACAGGTATCGGAGCGTAAGGCTGACAGATTATACGCAGGTATTTTGAATTTCTGTAACTTACAGCCGTCGGGCCATACTCGATATCTTGGTTACTAACAATTGTATAGTAAGTGGCGTGCGTTCCCGGGGGCAGCCACTAGTCAGTCTTGGCTGACACCGAATCTTGAGATGGCAAGCAAAAGACGGAAGGAAAAAGGTAATAGAAAATAAGAAAGATATTAAGAAAAAAAGTCACCTGCTACAAGACTGCAGGCTATTCTTCTCGTCCTGCTTACCCCACTTGATATAACATGTGACGTCAGCCTTTCCCGGCTTGCTGCATATATCAGCTGCTCCGAAGACATCTGTCATCGTTTTCTGCCTAAATATTTTCACATTCAAATCCAAGATGTCTATACCTCACCCTGTTTCTGATCCCAACTTGCTGCAGGAATTTTGTCTTACTGACGATCTGTCTCGGCTTAGCATTGATCAGGGGTCCGAGCCTCATATCCGTCAGGCAAAGCTAGCTTTGTTACACCCTCTCGGGAAAGCAAATATACTTGAACTATGCCGCTGCCCAACCAACGCCCCCACACATCAACCGTGTCGTTACACGTGTGACAGATCCCGGAGCGAGTTCCTCAATCTGCATCCACTGGGTAAAGCCTGGAGGAAAGAGCTCATGAAGATCCCACCTTTTTCCCGTCTCATATTCGATCTCACGTTACCGCCACATTCTCCCAATGACAACACCACTGAAACACCCAAACAATGGATCCACTGGGATACATCTATGCCCCAAGAAGCCAATCTTGGCATTAATGCTAAAGAGGTTGCGAATATTGTCACAACGATTGCCTTAACGACAAGAATGCGGATGAAGGGCGACGAGGTTTCCTTTGGTATTATTTATGATCCGACTGATGGGGCACATGTCAGGAATATGAAGGGCATACAGAAGCAACTTGCTGCTCTGGGTACGACTACTTCCCCCGAGGTGCAAGATGAAAAAGTGGGTACGTCGGCGGATCTCCACCGCAACAACCATCATACCTCGGATAGCCCTATCTACGGCTCGGGTGTTGTGTTTGCGCAAAACTGTAGATCCTCGGAATAAGTGATCGAATTCTGATCATGATTATATCATACAAGCCTGGAAAGCATGCCAGACCGTCAGGAGAGCTGGGATATTGTCATCAGGCTGCCTGTCAAAGTAGCGCTGTTGACACCCGAAGAATAAACTCTGAGGTTGGTGTAAGGTTCGTCCGCTACATTTATAACAAGATGAACCTTCAGAATTTGAACTGAGTTGCGGTAATACAAGTAAGAGGTTAGAGGGTTTTATCTCATGTAACAGCCTAGATAGAAAGCGGGGGTTTGTGGGTGGGTGTTGTCTTTCGGCTTTTTAGTATAACCAAGTGTTTCAATCAATTCTTTACGTCTGCTGAACAAGTTTAAGATTGCAAAATTCTGCAGTTAAGAGCAAAAATGTTGAATGTTTGACCCTAGGTCTCAACAGGAGGAATTACCTTCGTCACCTTGCTTTTTATGAACGCTGAAATTGGGGGCTCAGAGTCCCCCTGGTTCGAGATCTCTCTATACGGGACCTGCCTGGATATATCCGGCAAAATACATACTTCGTTCATTTATGCCCGGTAAGGTATTTGGGCTACCAAATCTCGACTATAAGAACAATATTACTACTATAAATTTATTGGCAGTTGTACAGCCACGCGATAAGCGGATCTAGTTAGAAAAATACATCTACTTTCCGATTCTGCTTCCTTATTCGACTGTATTATGATTACGCCGGATGGTGGGTCAAAAACTACATTAGGGGCCGTAAATGGAGGATGGATGAGGGACGGATTGGGTTGGGAAAGGGAGGTGACGATTGCAGAGGAAGAGAAGGCGGGGATATAAAGTTCAAAGCTTAGATGAAAGAAGAAGAGGAACTGTGGAGGGAGGAGACTGGGTTGATGACTTTGACAGATGGGTTACTCTCTAGATTATCTGCGCTTATCCTAAGCTTATTGTCGTCTTTGACTGTGATATACATCCTGGGTCTCTCTAGCTGCCTACAGACTGGCATTACTGTACTGCACTGGGGAGACCAGCTTGCTCCGATGGGGGTTAAAGAGCACATGGACGGGGTCGTGCTCCCCAGCAATGGCGCGACACACGGCACGTGCAATGGCGGGCGCTTGGGCAAAGCCGCCGGTGTTGTTCCCGCCCGTGATGAGGAGATGTCCACCCCCTGCAGTGCCGATGTCCTCCAAGATACCCAACCCCGTACAAGTGAACGGTCGAATGCAGAATTTCCGTTCCCCCTCCGGCCACAGGGTCCCTTGCTCCTTTGCCAAGCGATATCCCGCCGGGAAGTACATATGCGCCACTCGCTCGAGCTCGTCAAAAAGGGCCTGCAGTTCTGGAGTCTCTGGGGACGGGTGATCCAATCCAACATACCCGTATCCGCCCCCAAGAAGGAGCACCTCTTCGTTCGTCTGAGCATTTCTCGATACGGTCACGTTGATGTCTTCGACCAGCGAGCCGCGGCGATGAATTTTGATGGAATTCCTAATCATCGGGTCCAGGTTTGGGAGCTGCAGCCACACGCCTAACACTCCGTGCACCAGTCCCTCCGAGGCCGTGCCATCTAGGAGTCCATTTCTCGTCACCCCAGTGCTGATCACGAAATGATTCCCATGGAGAGGTCCCATCTGTGATTCCAGCAAAGTTACCTCCCCAGCAGCGTTGCGGCGGATTCTCTGGACCGAGCAGTTCCAGGTGAACTCTCCACCGAGCTCCATGATTCGATCGATCAGCTTCCCCACGAACAAGTGGATGCCGAGGGTAAAGCCTTGCACGGCAAGCGCACCGGCAAGTTCTTTGGACTTGACAGCCGCAGCAAACCCGGGGTATTCCCTCACGAGCTCGGATTGGGAGATCTCGTCCATGAGCGACCCTAGGCCTCGGTTCACCTCAGTAGCTGCATCCAGAGCGACGTCTTCGGCATATAAGCGCAGAATGTCGGCGTGGAGCGAGACACCATTGAAGAGCTCCGGGGCACGGTCCATGTACTCATCCCAGAGCTTTGCAGCTTCCTCTTTGACAAAGTAGATGTCTTCTTTCATCGATTGTGCCAACCAAGTAGGAGTCTGCTCAAAGGAATTGACCCAGGCGATCTCGGCCGCCGTGAAACTCGACGGGGATTTCAGACTCCAGCCGCCGTTGAGACTGGTCTTGCGGAAGACATGGCGCATATGACATAGATGGAGCTACTTCTCTCGTTGTGGCTATCCGCTTCGGTGTACGTGAACATGCGGGCATTGAAGCCCCCGTGGGTAACCCCCAAACGCGACCAGTCGTTGCAGGTCCGAGGATCCGGGTTGGCGTCTATAATCCTCATTCGAAACCCACGTGTAGCGAGGAACTCTGCCGTGACAAGATTCATAATTCCCGCGCCAACAAGTACGACTGTCTCGTCGGCATTGGGATCGTTTTCGTTGTGGTGGAGTGCGCCGTGGGCCCAACCCTGAGCATAAAGCATCTCTCCTGCCTGGAGAGCGTCGACACCACCCAGGACCCATCGGATTGATTTTCTTGCTTGGGTACTGCGTGAATTCCAGTCACACGATTCTTGAGCAGCTTTTCGACCTCAGGTATGTGCTTGGCGTCGCTGACCAGCAGAGCTTTTGGGGAGTCCTGACCCCGACCCAGCCACTGATCCAGTAGCTCCTCGGTGACTTCACCCCCCTCGCATACCCAGATGACTATCGCATCGAGACCGTTGATTTGCGCTGCGAGTCCGGAATGGTTTTGACAGAACGAAACTTGAAAAGACTCATCGCCGAGCACAGATCGGAATTTCGGCACGTTGGCGCTGATCAGGAACTTCATGTTAGGCTAGACAGCGTATTTGCCAGTTTACCATTCTCGTTGCAGCTGCTCAAGTATTAGAGGAGGATTGTTCCTATTGACATGCAACGCCTGCTCCAGCCTCTTGACCGGGATCTGTGCAGTGATGCTTACTCTCTATTTCCGCCTTGCTTAGTGAGGCGTACTAAGCCGTAAGCACACTATCTAAGGTAAGTCCGTCGATATTTTGGCTTTACTTTGGTATATTTCTATCTATTTATTTTAATCTCTAATACAGTATACAACAGAAGAAGTGGCTTCCCTGGAACTAGGGTGCCTCTCCACCACTACCTACACCATCGCACACAGTCCACGACCCACTGTATGCTGGATCGAAGTATTCCCAGCTATAGGGGTTTCCAAGCTCGTTGTCGTTCTCAGCAAGAGCGATGATGAATCTTTCTGATGGCGTGGCTGTCGCAGCATCCGATGTACTGGTCGTTGATGTCGAGGTCGTCGAGGTGGATGTTGTCGATGTGGTTGTTGTGTACAGCCCGGCTGTGAGGGAGTACTGCTCAGCGGAATAAAGAGATGAAATTTCCTTGGACAGAAGTGTGGCGATTGACAGCAGACTTGACATGGGATTCGTTGTAGCATCTAATTGTCTCAAAAGGATAGTTTCACAATACCCGATCAAAATCCACGAGCTCGGCATTGTCTCTCGTTGGTATTTGACGGTCTACTCCGTATGTGTTCATTTGCAGCTAAACTAGAGGGCCCATTTGACGCCTAACGCTCACCCCGGTAGATAGACCGATGCAGCATGTGGGTTTTTCTTTCTTTTTCTTATTCCTTTTCCTACGCTTGTGGACTACTTTCAAGTATTCTGCTCGTGATTGGCAGAAGCTTGAGTTGCCTCTGAAAGAATCAATCGACGAATTGAGGTGCTTGGGGGATTCGATTACTGAGGCCGAGGCTCTACCCAGGCAGGGATGGCCTGAGCTTGACCCCCGATAGCCCCTGGTACCCTGATCCTTCGTGGTCCCACTTAGTTTCTACTATGTGTTTTTAGTATGCTATAGCGGAATCGGTGTGTTGCTAGATACTATATGAAAGTTATTACCAGCATGTGCACCATCTTGAGAAATAAGCGAAATTGAAGGGGAAGTGGGGGATAGATACCAGGGGTGGAAAAAAGAAGAAAACAAAAAAGACCAAGGAACGATGGAGCACGATGAACACCACTGGTCTCCCTATTGTGTATAAAGAGGCTTGGTGGTTACTTGTAGATTTTATTATCACAGCAAAGACTGCCATTTTCTTTTTGCGAGATTCATTCTCTCACTTTCTGTTGCTGCTGTCATGTTGGGACCAAAGGGAATAGTTTTATGGGTTGCCCTGAGTTTGCTGGTCAGCAATGTTGTAGCTCTGGATGTCACCGAATTGTTCAATCTCCCTGCTAGTGGCAATGCGTATGGAGACTGTTCTTCGCACCAGGCGAGGTTAACCAACTACGCCAGCGATTTCTCATCACTGGCTACACAGATGAACAACGCAGTTCAATGGGCTCAGCAAGCGGAACAAACACGACAGACAATAGTTGCCCGGGAGCTCTTTACTGCGTGGTCTGGTTATCAAATTTGACGGCAATGGAGTGCTCCTTTGGGAGAGTCAGATGGCGTGGAACGTTGTCACGGGTAAGCTGCACTCAATCCTCGGAAAGAATAGGTTACTTACCGCACATTCAATTGAAATAGATCACATCCAGCGTCTCCAAGATGTTATCACGAATAACGGAGTGTATCCGGCTTGGACTTCTCCTGCAAATCTATTTTGTGGTGATTTTGGAGAACCATTGTCTTGGGACTTTTATATGTTTGATAGCGCTGGCGACTACATAGATCCCCCTACGACAGTTCAAAACATGTATGGAGATTGGGCGAGCTACATCGGAGGTGCGCAAGTACCCTACTGGGTTCCATCACTGAATGAGTACCATCTCATATCCCCCACGACTTTCACGGCGGATGCGATGTGTTCTGATACCAGTGGGCTGGAAGGGCTAAATTCTTTCGGCAATTCTCCATCTCTCACGAGTATGGAATACGAAGGGTTGAATTATCCCGTTTTTTAAAAAGGCACTTTCGGATTTTGTGTTGATTTGCCCAAATGTGCTGGAGGACAACACGGCCAGCGACACGTCGGCTGGTAACACCCTCCTGAGTGATACTGGCGTCCTACCGGTGACCGCGGACTTGATCGACAGGGCACAACTAAGTTTCATCAAACCTAGGTCCACCGCGATGCTTCATGAAATCCTGCATATGGTGACCAGGTGGGAACAGAGTGGTAACGCTGTGATAAGTAGACAAAACCAAATTGTGGATCATAGTTGTGAGTGTCACTGATGAATTCCCACGTTCTCTTGCGTTCGACCTTGTATATAATGAATGCTGATTATCGATTATCCATTTGTCACCAGATCTTATGATGGATTGTCTCAGCTTGGCGCTGGATCCCTATGCGCTTGGTACCGGTGTGGCACAATTTGCATATCAGAACACCGAAAATTATGTCCATTTTGCTTTGGCTTGGTGGTACTATAACTGCAAAACCGTCGGGACCGCGACCCCGGCCACCTTCTATGCTGGATTCCTCCAAAAGTGGGACCATACCTAAGTAGGGCCCATATACGGCCACTTGAATCATGATTCTAACACCACTGGAACTGGTAGTTGGGGAGGGAGTTTGGCGATCGCCTGATGGGTAGTTAGAGAGGTATAGTACCTACTATGTGTTATTCTCGCTCCGGTGGCCGGGTCTAAATCAACACAAGTTGCAAGTCTTTTCTGTTTGTTTTTTTCTTTTTCGCTTTCTGTTTCGCTCACTACCACCATCATTATAATGACACTGTGGGTATATATAACGGACTAGTGATCTAGTAGATCGCTTCCAAGAGTAGTCTTGTTTCTCTTGCTGGTTCAGTGTGGGTGGATCCTTCTTAGTTGGGGGCTAACCTAGGCTAACCTTTACTTAGTGTATGTGGTGCCCCCCGTCTGCCTTCCGACGCGCCCGAAGTCCCAATCAGACTTGAGAATTGCCGAGGGTGCCCGGATTCCCTGCGGACTGGAGGGATTCTCGCTACTTAAGCGTTTGTAACGGCATCTCCTCAAAATGCAATCCGCGCTGAACCACCCCTTTACAAGTCTCAACTTCACCCCACGCAGTTCACGGGAATATTGATTCAAGGTTACGATTGTCGTGTTCTTTGTGCGGCTACAAGGAATTGGTACAAGATGTCTATCTCAAGTTTGCCTCTCGAGATATTGACTCACATCTGTGAGTATCTAGAGCCCCAAGAGTGGGGTGCGCTTAGGATCACTTGCCACCAGATGCATCGCAATACACTGGAGGCCTATGCGACGCGCTTCTTTAAAAGTCTCTCACTTCTTCTCACTCGCGAAAGCCTCGACCATCTTCAGGAGGTTGCAGCAAGTAAGACTCTTCGGCGTTGGGTTCAAGAGATTTGGATCATTCCTAATTTGTTTGAGGGGTGGCCACAGAAGGACAAGGAAACTTTCAAAGATCTGGGATTGTCATTGAGGAGACGGAGGAGGACGTTAAGAATGATGCGCGGTGAAAAGGAGGAGTCAACATCAACTAATGCTGAGGCTGAGCTTGACGCTCTATTTGCTGCTTACGACGCTACCCTAGCAGACCACCGTGCTATCCTCGACTCGGAACTGTTCGGGGTCCTTGAAACATGCCTGCCGCGCCTCGAGAACGTCACTACAGTCGGATTACGATCGTACCCCATTGAATACCTTCTGTTGAAAGCAGACTATCGCTCATTTCGCTGCCTTGGCTTACGTGAATTGAAGAAGTTCAACACCGATGATGTGCGGGGTCATCTATCATTCGCAAGTTTTCGCAAGGATATGTTGTCCATGTCTCTGGGTTTGGCAATTTCGCAAGTGCTCCATGCCATAATCAAATCCAACCGGAAGCTCCAATCCCTTCATACGTGCGGCAATTACACTTGCGGGATGAATCTGGGCTCCTCGATGCTCCCAGAGTCAAGGTATAAACTATTGTTGCCACTCTTAAGCGATCTGATGAATCTCCATATGTGTATTCGCATTAAGGATCAAGAAGAAGACATATTCGACGAGGACACCTTCAAACGTCTTCTCGATATCTTGGTCACAGTCGCACCCAAGTTGACAAGTCTGACCTTTGGACAGTGGAATCCCTGGGAAGAACTATCGCCCATTTACTTTCAGGATCTCTCCGAGAAGATCCGGTTTTCCCAGCTAGAGGAAGTTCATCTCCATTGGATCGAGGTGACAGTGGATACTCTCAGAAAATTCCTTCACACAGCAGCGCCAACCTTGAAACGTCTGCGTATGAGCATGGTCAGCTTGACTGATCCAATAATTGCAGCACGAGATCCAGGGCCCATCACCGAAGAGAGAAGTAGTTGGGGATCTTCATTGTCCACTGCAGTGACAAACGAGATAAAGCAGCTCTGGATGCGGGCCTTTGAATTCTTGGCAGATAATCTAAAGTTGCAGTTTGTCCAGTTGTCGAAACTTGGTTACCGTGGAAGAGAGATAAACTTGCAAGACGACTTATACATGGAACGCGGACAACCGGATGCACCGCCGGATTCATGCACACAGCCTTCTATCGACCCGAGAGATATCTATTCTGATCCGACGGGTGGCCATTTGTTAGATTTCTACTTTGATGCTGGGCGAGCGAGCATACCACTCAAACGATGGATCATGCAGCTTCAAATGGAAATGTGCAACTCCTTAGACAGTGGACCTTGCCGACTCCCGGGGACCAGCGGTATGAGCTTCAACCGGGAAGGGATGAGGACCATTAGTAGTAGCTATCCAGCGGGACATCTGCCATTGAATAATCCCCAAAGATAGAGGGCAATTTCTAGATTTGCTGCATAGGCAAGAATACGATCAAGCATGATGCTAGTATTATATATTTGGCCTTCTGATCCTAAAACATATACTCCGTGGCATTACAACTTAGGTTACAAGACGAACAACCTCGGTTCCATCTAAAGATAGCCCGTGGTTCCCGATGTAATAGCTACAATATTGCAACGATCAATCACCGCTTTCAAAAGGGAGGTGGGCAACGCATGCATAATCCCTTCTAATTTCCCATTCTGTAGCGAGTTGCTCTTCATTTTCTTGGGGAATATCATCTCTTCTGTACACTCATGATAAGTTGCTCCGCGGTCGGAGATGTTGCGAGTTCGGGATCTTCATTAGAAGTCAAACGATCAACCACCACCATGCATCTACGATCCTCGTACTTGGAAGGAAATATCTTTCGTAGAGAAGTAGCGTAAACACCGTGAGAATATATTCAACGCAACAAGGGGCAGGCCTCTGCTTGTTTCTTAACCATCTATAAGCGGATCAATCAACAAACGCACGTCTTTCTTAAATTATATTTTAAATTTTAAATAATCTTATTTATCTTACTTATTAGATAGTTTGACTTCAGGATATAAAAGTCTTAGTTATAAAGTTATATATTAAAGAAAAGTAATAGTATAATAAGATATATTATTTATAATTTATATATTAATAATGCTCTGTAATTTATTAATATATTAATTAAATTATTTATATTTATTTTATTAAGCTTGCTGGTATAATTTTATTATTTTATTATTTATTATTTTATTTTTTCTAACCTGCTCATAAAAATAGTAAGAAACTGTAATTATATTATATTATATATTATTTTATTATTTTATTTTATTTTATTTTATTCTATTAGCTGCACAGTCAGACTCTATTCTATAGATTATTTAGAAGAGTTATTTCTAATATTAGAGGTTATTTTTTACTTCCAAGAATATATTATCTATTAAATAAGAAAAAATAGCTGGTGTTTAAACAGGGGTCTTAAGATATCTGAGATTTTATAAATATCAGTTAGTCAGCAGGCAGCTATGAGGCTGGGTAGCCGAGTCCCCTAGTAGGGACTTGTCCCATAACAAATACTCAGTCTAAATACAGAAGACTTTTACTTGTAAATAAAAAGAAAGAAAAAGAGAAAAAAAAAACAAAGTTTTTATAAAAATTTAAACTAGTTATAAAACCAGAGAATTAATATAAGATAAATTCTCATTAAAAAATAAACCCCTGTCCAGGATGATTGCAGTTACTATAATAGAAAATAATAAAAAATAAATTATAAAAAAAGATTTTTTATAGGAACCAAGCACTTACATAATATCAAAAAAATAAATTAAATAAAATATTTAAAAAACTGCAGATAAAAAATAGAAAATCTAAAATTATAATAAAATAAAATTATCTAAAAATCTAAATTCCAAATATCATAACTTATAAGTATACTGGTATCCTGGTTTAATCTTATACTAGGAGAGAGAATAATATAAAAAGATAAGTTCTTATTAAAAAATTTAGTTATCCAGTCTTATTATTATCTGCTAATTAATTAATATATTCAAAATCTGAGAAATCCTGAGACACTTATTTAAACACTAGTTATTCCTTCATGTACCAACAGGTGATATACTCCAAGGGGCGACCCCTAACACTGCAGGGATACCGTCTCCAGAAAAAAAATAATATTAAAATACACTTACCAGTTTACTGTAAGTTAATAAATTATGTAAGTAATATACAGTCACAAATTACATAAATTAGATAAGATTATGTAATCTATTTTTATATTATATTTTACTAGCCCCTCCAATACTGCGGGAGGCCAGTAATCAGTTCAAAGCAGAATATTAGCTAGTATTTGTGTATACAATTGAACTTATCACGTCTCCTACATCACCCCTAACAATAATTAATAATATTACTTTGAAAAAATCAACTCTATATTTAGTATTTGTAAATAAGATATACTTTTTATACTATCTTATTATATTCATCCTTATACCAAGTCATATACCAGCACCATACCATACTGGAATATAAAAGGATACTTATTACCGTATATTTAGATAGTTCTGTTTCTTATACTCAATTAACTTGTCTTTAAATAACTATATATTTGGAAGCTTAGCAATAACACCTTTCTGTACTTATATATAGCTGAACAGTACTATTCATCCTTACTTCTCTTCTCTTGTCTAAGATCAGTTGCTCTTAAATAGTCATCAGCCTGATACTCCCTTGACCAAGTCCACGGTACGTATACCAGTGAAGCTAAGCTAACAGGGACAGGGAAGCGATCCTAGGGTTGGACACTTATATACTCACAGGAGGTGTAGGAGGTGATGGAAGTACGGCGTATCGGGCAACTAAGCCGAGAGCGGCAAAACTAACTGCAATGGGAAATTCACAGGTCCTTATATTGCTCCACAGATCACTATGAGTGGCCACACCAGTAGGTAAACTGTGTCGGTGCTTTTATCGTTTATGTAAGTTCCAAAAACTCTATGGAAACTCAGAAAAATGCATTCCGAGATCCATCTGTTGGTTCATCATATCCCATGCCGGTTGCACCGCCTCAAAACTTCCTTCCGAAGGCGCGCTATCCATAAAGCCTGCGGGAAACAGAAGCCAGTCTAACGTGTCCAAGTTCTCCAAAAAAAGATTATCTTGAATCTCGATGGCGTGGCTGCCGGCTCTTTCATTGATTACTTTCGTATGGGATGATGCTTTGTTTTGCTCCGCGTTATTATTATTCCCCAGCTGAACGGCCGCTTTATGGGCCTTTATTGAGTGGCCATTATGCGTAGAAGACAAAGTGGCGAGAAGGAGGCCCCATCTTGAACTTAGATGAGCATCATCTGGCGAGCATGTCTGGAAGGCGTTACCGACCCGCGCAATTAATGACAAAGATGACTCGTGACGCGTCAAGGCGGCCACATCCAAATGATCTGTCTAAAGGGCGTTAGTAGTGCAACAATAAAAGGATTGAATGTCGTGTATTTACCTTCAGTAGAAACAGTGTGGCTGTTAAGACCCGAAAGTAGGTGCGTATGGGAATAAACTTCAGGCTTCCATCTGGAAGGAGGTCTTGCAGAACATGGTTCAAGATGGACCTTGCACCGTCGATTATCTCTGTCACACAATCCTCATTACCTCGACGTAGCGGTGTATTTCCATTACGTTTGCTCTCAACGATAGCCTGGGCGGCTAAGCTATTGAAATATGCTCGCATAAAATTGAAGTCAATGGCAAGCATTATGCGCATGTGTCGAGTTACTATTATGGGTTAGCAATGTGACTTATTTCCTGCCACCCTTCCACGTACTTGTCCTAAGGGAGTTTGGAGTGCTTACCCTTGGCTTTGACAAACTCCTCTTGCCACTCTTGGAGGCTAGTTTGAAATGTATATAACAGGCCAATGTAAAGGCCATTCTGGATGATGTGCTTGGTGTGCTGCCGAGACTTGAAGAGGAGCTCATTACCCTTCCTCATCAGAGTTGCAAGCCCGGTCCACATCCTAGTGGTATCATCCCTCATAAGCTCCGGGCTTTCGGGTAGATTATTTGGGGCGATATATTTCCAGCCTAATTCATCGAATTAGTCTCATGTCTAGCGACCTGCCGCAGCTTTCAGACTTACCTAGCCTTCCCGACATTTGAGTAGAAGATATCCATAAGTATTGGCGGATTCGATAAGCTCGTTTCTTAAATTCCGGGTTCTCCCAACTTCGATTGGTCGTTTCGCGGGCTCCCAAGGTCGTATCATCACAGTCATCAAACAGTCCTAGCTCAAAGGCCAGTGTGTAGACCATCCCGAGAAGCGACCAGCAGTTACGATCAGAACGCCAGGACCATTCAAGCCAAAATACCGGGTTCTTATATGTGAAGGAGTTGCTGTTGAACATCGGCTTATTTGTCAAGATATGAGCTCCATCTCCTCCAACGGGGAAATGAAGTGACCGCGGGTGCCATTCTGTCAGGACAAGCAGAGCTTCAGATGTCCCCAAGGTTCGGAGACCGTTTGATTTGTTTTGCAATGTCGCGCTGGAACAGGAATCCTGCGCCCAGAATATTCGCATTATCATTGTTTGCAAGGCATCCCAGAGGCGGTCATGGATGATATAACGTCGAGACACGTGGCCTGAGCCTGGCAGATCCGAGTAACGAGAGGCGAGCATTAGCATCGTGAGAGCGAGGATCGGATTGTCTTCGATGAGCTCTTGATGTTTCTTCGGGGGCCTGAAGTCAACTGACAATATTGGAGTAAATGGCTCGAGATGTTCATAAAAAGACTCGATGTAGAACAGAGCTTCCTCCGCTGAGAATAGACCGTCGCGGATGAAACGTACATGTGACCAAGCTTCGAGTGCTTGCTCCCTCCCGACCGAGAGATCAGGGACATTGGGAGATGTTGATAGGTTTTGATCTGCGCTGGGCTTGCCGTCACGTTGTAGTCCGGGGCTGTGAACATCTTTGACTGTACTAGTAGTTCCAGCTCGGTAAAGTAGTTTCAGCGCGTCTTCCTCTGTATATGCCACATCGTGTACCAAGTCCTCTGAAGATCTGGCTCGGATTGCCGGCTGTCACCTTCATTAGCATATTCACATCTGGGGCAGTCAATTTAGGAAGGCCCAGCTCACAGAGTCGGTGCGATGGTCATCCTGTGTGCTATTATTCTGGGTCGAGTCTTCACCCCGGGGTCGGGCAGTGTCACTATCGTGCCTTGGAGGAGCTGAGTCGGGCGAGCCCGCGGTATGCTTTCGCCTCTTGTTTCGGAGGAGGAAAGAGTGCGAATCTGCATCTGGCAATACTCTCTTCCTCGTGGCTGTAAAAATACACTCTTTCCTTCGCGCCTACACCGTGCACAGGGTGGGTCCGCTGGACTGTCGACAGAGCCCAGGTTGCACTTGACCTTCTTTAAACGGCAAGGCTCACAGGCCTTTTGCACCGTTACTTAGCGGTTAGCGCAAGAATAGGACTTTATGGCGTTCAGATTCAGCCTTTGACGTTTTGACGCACCTGATACACTCTGGCATGTTTTACCGGTGCTCGTGGTGCATCCATGTTGGAGTTTTCCTTTGATGGAGAGTGGGATGTTGGGATGCCGGATACATTCGGATCGCGCAACATTCATCTTCCAGGCTCTGGGGAAGCCCTTATTGCGTGGCGGGGCCAAGAACCAATCACCACCGCCCCGATATCAGGACTTTGCACTCATTCGTTTAATATAATGTGGCAAGTTTCAAAGCACTGGACAGCCTCTGGGCCACTTGCCAGAACCTGCCACATTATGCGTCTGCCCTGACCCTATTTTCCCTTCCATGCAGGGAAAAACCCCTCCTTCAGGGTCACTAAACTTCGTTGATTAATCGCTACTTGCGCGTCTACGCATGCTCACCGCGTGTTGGAGGAGCCTTGATCCAGCTATACGCATGAATCACCGAAACCTTCGCAGCCTGCATAGGACATGTTCGCGCACAAATATATTTTTATGCGGTCGAACATGATCTAAAATTCTTTAGCTACGTTACAATCTGACAATCCTTTGTAATATCCAGTGATATCTAAACCTATTCCTTTCGATTAGACATCAAGGATATATTTTTTTCCACCCATGCTCGTCCAATCATTGCACCTGTTGCCGCAAATGTTTAACTTCCATGTCATCACTCAATTACGCCACACTTTTGGTATTTCTCTTTATTCAGGGCCACAGCCTGCGACAGCACGTGTCACCAGCACTTATAAAAAGGCTAATCGGGAACCACATCAGCATGTTTGAAAGGAGGGTTCCAGTAAGGATCTGTGTGTGTGCAGGTGGTGGAACTTTCTTCAATCCAAGTGGTGGTAATTGAAAATAGTTCATGACAAGGAAGGCTGCTTGGTTTCATTCGTAGAAGCGGGTTTCGGATTCGGTCGGCAATGATCGGATGTTTAGTCTATTGTCAACCTCACCCGTTCCCAGATAGTATAGATGGTGAACATTATCAGTCGCGCCCCCGGCGTACCAAAGGCATTTGCTATTGTCTGCCCATTGAGAGGCCGTTGTTAGGGGGTTATTCCCAGGGGAAACAGCCTCTGCTGATTGCCAGAGACAGCACTTCAGTTTTGTGTGTGAGCCAATCGCTCGAAGTACTTACAGCTCCTAAATATCGGATATAATCGGATGCTCGGAACATCTGCATCTCAATGCACCAATTGGGTGCTGAAACCAAATCAGGTTCGATTAGTTCAATCATAGAGGTCGGTAGCCACATTAACATCTTGCTAATGTACGTCTATCGCAAACCTTCCGATATGCCCGATTCACAGATGTCGAGGGGAAAAACGTTTCGCATAATACGATGACCTATTAGAGTTGCCGAGACGTGCAGCTCGCGACTGGCAGGCGTACCTCGTACTAAGGGGACCCAATACAGTGTGAGCAATAACTAGAGACACACCTCCCCAAAAAATACACATCTAGCATATATTTTCTCAGAAAAAGCCTCCGTAGAAACAGAACTTCTAATCACTTCTACAAGAAGGCCAAGCTTCCATTCAAGAATAGACAGGATGCAACTATTAGGAGACGTGTGCGTGTTATTACCGTAGCCTCAACTATGATGAGATCATCATGCCGGGAAGGTTATCGTAAGGGCTATTTCCAGAGCTGTTGTAAGATCTAATTTAAGATAGCACTGATTACAACATAACTTACATAGGATCTTGTACATAGCGAATCTCGCAGCCTGACGGCCATACTTTCCGTAGGCGCTCGGCAAGAGTATCGTTTGCTATGCTTTATTCGAGAAATGCGTAAATCAATGACTCAATTAATCGATGACGAGATAAAGCTAGAGGAAACATTCGGATAGCATCGGTCCAGGATCATCACCGACGAACTCCGACTGTGGAGGTCTACAAACAGTCGCACATCATCCTCATCTGAGAAAGGTATTTAGAGCCTTATCATATTCATTCACTGATAATCCGTCGCATAACAGAATACAATCCCTCTATTCCCCGCCACGCCGAAAAACCACACTCAAAATGGCTCTCGTCGTGGACTATAACAAGATTCCATTGAAGACCCCTGAGGAGGTCGCCAAACTCCGCAAGGCAGGATGGATCTGTGCCCGAATTCTGGAGGACATCTCCCCGCACGTTCAGCCAGGCGTGACCAAAACCCAGCTGAACGAGAAGCTGCACGAGCTCATCGTGAACAAGTACGAAGCCGAGGTTGACCGCGAGGACTTGACTGGCTACGACTCCAGCAGCTTCGCCAGTGTCTCCTTCTCACACAATGATATTGCTTTCAACGGAGAAGCCTCTGACGAGCCCCTGAACAGGGGTGACGTCTTCGGCATTGACGTCTCCATCAAGAAGGACGGATGGTGCGGTGACACCTCCCGTCAGTGGATCATCGGAGACGACACATCCGCCCAGTCTCGTCTTCTTGTCGCTGTCGCATACCAAGCCATGTGTCTGGGCATCAAGCTCGTCAAGCCGGGCGCCAAGGTGCAAGATATTGCAGTGACAGTGCAGAAATACGTTGAGTCCTTTGGCTTCTCCATGTTGAAGGTTGACAGTGGAACTGGGCACTCGATCGGTCGGGTTCACGCCGATGGCTGGCACATTCCTTTCTATCACGACCCACGAAATGAGGGCCGTGTACTTACCGAGGGCATGGTTATTACCATTGAGCCTTTCTTGTGTGCGGGCAAGGGCGATGGTATTCGTCTGGACAACGTGACTAAGACTGCCGCTACTGCTGACAAGTCTATTGCTTGCTACTGGGAGCATGTGGTTGCTATAACCAAGGATGGTTGTGAGATTCTGGATTTGCGCGAGGGTGAAGATACCACCTTCTACGGCAGTGTGCCTGAGGTCTAACCCGAGGCGGGTTGATTGACACTGTTGAGATTTTAAGATCATCAATGCGTTAATGTATTTACTTGGCCCCCTCTCAATAGAATACAATTACTGCATTTTTCAAGCTTAATACAACCGTATGATTGTAAGCAGACCTTGTTAAATAGATGATGCTAACGACCAATGGGAGCCCGTACTTCTTTTCCCAAATTTCATCCCCCACATCAGCTAGGCCGTCTGAGGTTATGCGGCAAAACACAGTTCTTAAGCAATGAGTGATAGTGAAGATAATGAAGTGGAATATAGAATGGCGTTTGACGTGGTCTGGATTGATCGTACAGGATTTGATTTCGTACCAAATCCATAATAAATGCCACCAGTCAGACTTTCAGGCCATAGATCTAGGAGAAGTATTTCTTGTTGAACCCATTCACCACTGCCCGTGCCTCCTTTACCACCTCAACACAGGCAGGAACATCTGAGTGGCAACAGAGCGAAATGGGGTGGCTTCCTATAGGCAGTTCTTCTGTCGTGCCATCAACTGCGATGACTGATGAAGTTTCAATCTGCTCTGTGACATGTCGGCGCACTTCACTGTTTGCCCAGGCACTATACCACCAATTAGGATAGAAATGAAAAAAAGGCTATAAGGATTGAACGCGAGATCAAGAACCAGCCCTGGAGTATTTTGCAATGAATCACTGGGGATACTTCGGTAATAATCTGGACGGACTGACCTAGAGCGCCGTTCATCAGTGCTTGAGGCCTGGCGTGATAGCGTTTCCAGCGTGAGACGAGGGCACAGTCAAATATCGCTGGAGATTGCCGGATTTTGTCGGATACACAGCGACCAAGCTCAACCACCAAACCCGCTGGTGTGTTTACCAGCGATATGGATGGTCCATCTCAGATCGGATGGGCCGACTTCCCCCGGAGATATGGTTTAACTTACATTTGACATCTGGCATGTCTTCCTCTCTCGTGAAAGGGTGACAGTTGGAGCCTTAGCTGTTGGAAAGCAGTGGCGGATCCGACGTAGCCGTTTGTTTCCGACATCAGCCGGACTCAGTGAAGGTTGTGAATATAGTGTCCCGAAACTCCTGATGGCGGGTTGAAATAAGCAACAAATATACGTCTAGATTATCTCTTGGGTTCCGCTCTCCCTGTGACTTGTTTCTGCTGTCCTCGGTTAACAATAATGGAGACCCTCAAGGTTCTGCTTATCGCGAATCGCGGTGAAATCGCAGTACGGATCGCGAAGACTGCGAAGTAAATATCTCGAACCTTATCAGTATTCCTCCAATGTTAGCTTGCGACTCATCTTTGTAGACGCCTGGGGATCTGTACTATTGCCATTTACACGGTCGCAGATGCGACTTCGCAGCATGTTCTGGCCGCAGATATCGCAGCTCTTCTGCCCGGAGATGACTCGACCGCCTATGCTGATGGGTATAGTTATTACCTCAAAGTTTTCCTTCTAAAAAAGGAACATAATAGATTGACAGAAGTCCAGTGATGCGATCATTGAGATTGCCCAGGCGAATAATGTCGATGCCATTATCCCTGGATACGGGTTCTTGTCTGAGAATGTCGAGTTCGCTCAAAAGGTCTTGAACCGCGGCATGATGTTTGTCGGTCCCAGCCCTGATGTGATTGAAGGGTTTGGTCTGAAACATTGTGCGCGTGAGATGGCAATTAGAGCTAAGGTGCCCACTGTGCCCGGCTCGGAAGAGCTGCTCACCTCTGAGGAAGAAGTTGCGGTGGTTGCAGGGGCCCTTGGATATCCTGTAAGGAAGTTGTGTGATGCTGTTTGTGTACTGGCTTCAATGAATCTTGTAAATAGATTATGTTAAAGTCAACAGCCGGTGGCGGTGGTATGGGTTTGATGATTTGCCACAGTCTTGAGGAACTGCGCAGGTGTTAGGTTCAGGTTAAATCGAGGGGCGATATTCTGTTTAAAAACTCCGGCGTGTTCCTCGAACGCTATTATCCTGTCAGTCATCACGTCGAGGTCCAAATCTTTGGCAATAGCGAAGGTGAAGCCATTCATGTCGGAGAGCGTGAGTGTTCGATTCAGAGACGTCACTAGAAGGTTATCGAAGAGTGTCCCATATTATAAAATAAGCTTTTACTAAAAGACTTAATTATCTAGTCTTATAACTGCCTATTGACTAACTAATATATATAAAATCTTGAATATCTTGAGGCCTTTATTTAAATACCAGCTATTCCTTCTTGTCCAACAGGCGACATACTCTTGGAACCAAGGGACGACCCCTAACAATATTGTTTAACACAGAAGACATGTGTGGCTATTATATATAAGCTTTTATAAATATTAATAATATATTATTAGATTATATTGATTTATATATTATTTTGATTATTACAAGGTTCCGTGTTTCTTTTTGTAGTAAATATAAATTATTAATATTGTACTTCTTTTTTCCCTTTCTTATATTATTCTTTTTATTCTTTTTATTTATCTTCTATTTTTTTTCTATTTTATAAAATAAGTCTCTTTAGTAGTATAATAATATACTAGCTCATCAGATCAGTAAAAAATTAAAATTATATTATGTATTTCTTATTTTTTTTATTTATTTTATTTTATTCTATTCTATTATTCACATGGGTAGACTTTATATTATAAATAAATTGATAGGTTATTTTTAATATTAAAGATCACTTCTTGGTTCTAAGAAAATATTATTTTATCAAATAAAAAAAATGATTAATCTATAAATAGAGTCTCAGGAGTTTCAGGATTTTATATATAAGTAATAATTAGTTAGCTGGTAATAATAAGACCGGCTAGCCAAGTCCCTCATAGTATAGGAATCTATCCCATAACAAAAACCCTCTAGTTAAAAGTAGAAATATTAATTATGAAATCCTAGATATTAACAGGAGGAATCAAACTTGCTACATTACTTTTTATAACCACTGAAATAGGGGGCTTACACTTTTTCTGATATATTATCTTTCCAAACGACACCTGGCTTAATATATCTGGCAGAAAACATACTTCAATCATTTATGTCCAGTAATGTTTTTGGGCTGCCAAAGCCGGACTATCAAACGAATAATAAGACTATAAGAATTCCGAACGACGGGTATGAATACCTGGGCGTCGTAGAACTCGGCAATGATATGGAGTTTTACATTATTATCCAGTCGCTGGCCGTGTTTCCAAGGTCAAAATCGATTACCCAAGACATTAGATCGAGGTTCTCGTAGTCATCCAGATTGAAAGCACCAATCTCTCTATCCCCATCTCCGGAACTCTCTTCACTAGTTAGAGAAGCGTCAAGATCAGTGGTCGGGGTCGGCATTGAGTCCATTACATCAACTCTTGTCGCAACATCAGAAATTGTCCGAGCTTGAAACTTTGACGTCGCAAGCTTGTCCAGAATCTTGTCCAATCTCTCCGTGATGGCCTTTGCCGCCTGCAAGCAAAAGGCTCGATTTCTTTCCCGCGAACTAGCCACCCTTTCGAGTTGCGACGTAAGGACGGAAACATTGCGAATCACGGCTGATGTCCTCATGCCAGGCGGAAGATTACTTGAAGAATCTTGCGTATTGTTCTCTAGTGTAGCTAGGAGGACTGCCGCAGACGGCAAGCCGCAGGTCAGAAGCTTTACCCTGTCAGCTATGACAAAGAAGATGATCGGTAAAGGGGCGGAGCAGCACGTACGATTTCAGGTAGATCATGCGAGGTAAAGGCGCCCTTTCTGCGGGTATTTCCCACCAGAACCACTGTCTCCAGAATGTTTGCAGACACGTCCAGCAGCTCGGGAAGCGGAGTTGAGCTATTCTCCCCAAGAAGGTGGTATATCTGGAAATGGATTTGGAGATAGGCTAGATGAACCTTCGCGTGCATATAACAAGTGCTCAGGGGCATGTCGGATTCCCAACAGTCCTTAGTATACCTTAGGTGGGGAAGCAGGTTATCCCACGTCTGACAACATCGAGAAGACAATTCTCTACAACAACATTAGTACTATTCAACCTCTGTCCGAACGATTGTACACACCTGAGCTGGGCAGGGTTAGCTGTCTGTGATGCTTGAAATCGATATTCCACAATTCCTTCCCGAAACTGACTCAGGATGTAGCGCAATCGAGCCCATGTTGCTGCTCTAAGGTTTCCATCTGTATTCCAGCCATCTTCTGTGAGTCGACTTTTTGCATTCTCTAGCTCGTTGGGAGTTTGGGCAAAAAGTTCGTCATCTGACAAATCAAGAGGGAGCTTGACGTCCACATATTGAGAGGTAATACGAGGAGGTAAATTGAATAACAAGCCAAACATCTTCTCCAAGTAATATTCAGTTACAAAGCACCTCCTCCGGCACTCTGCAAGAAAAAACGGGATTCTCTCAGGGGAATATGTCGCTTCCCTATTCAAGCCCAGAGCCAATAAATCGGTCGAGAGATCGCCCACTAGACGCCACACACCGAGGCCTGGAATAAATCAGTATCCACCCATTTTCGATATGTATAGGGTGACTTACTCGTATCTCCTTCAAGGAATGACCTGAGATGTCCATTTTCATTCGCCAACCATATAATGACATCGTTTGACTGGGGTGCAAGATCCCGAGCTAGTCGTAAGATCACCGTGCTATACCAAACCATGTCTGGGACAAATGCGGCATCCTTACCCTCGTCGCGGTCAACGAAAAAAGCCGACGCACGGGCAGCCATAGTATACAAAAGACCGAGAGTCTCGACTCGAAGATTCGGGCCACAGAACAAGGCTAAGAAACCATGCAGGTCCAAGGATGCGGTGATGGTAACCTCTGTAGAGGAAGAGAGCAGTACAGATTCTGATAACCGCGAAATATCGCCCAACTCAACTCGACCTCCCGTTTCTCCAAAGATATAGCCCGACGATACTAGATCTGTACGAAGCGCTTTGAGAAGCTGCAGAACGACTGGTTTCGGTACAAGTGAGTTGTGTTTAGCAGAGTAGTACTGATGGATACACCTTTCAATAACAGGAAGGTATCTCAACTGAGACACAATCTCCTTCATGGTGGCTAGGTGGGCCTCATGGGCCTTGCTGTCGTGCGAGCCCGCCAAGGGAATGTCTGGCAGGGTCCCACTGTCAGAGACGGTCGACATAAAAGGCCATGTGTGGAATTTGGGCGGTCCAGCCGCAGAGCATCTGGGATATTTTGCACTGGACCTGCTCCATAATGGCGCAGCTGTGGTTGGTTGGGTTGGCGTAGGCGCGGCCAGTCTTTGTGCGCTGGCATTTCGATGTTTAGTCAGAGGGGCAGGATGGTAGTAGCACCGAGAGTCGAAGCCACGACGCCGGCAGGAGGCACAGACTGGTTTGCCGTGATCGCATCGAGTTTTCCTCTCTCGGCAAGGTTCACATGAGGCGAGGGCTCGATTGCGCCTGGTTGTGGGTGCTGACATACTCAATGACCTGTCTGGAATCGACTCAGTGCTCCTTCGTTCGCTTTCCAGGTCCACTGTATAAGAATCGGTATTATGCGGCCTCAGTATTTCGAATCAAGTCATTTCGTCTGGTTTCTTAGAGAAATTGTGTCAAGACGTAACACTTGCCAGCTGCAGGTGAGAGTGCGGTCTCACTATCAGAGGTTTATCAGCTGACTCTTATTCCGATACAAGACCGGTACCAAGCTATGTATCGGACTACATCTCGGACCCAAATAGACAGGCGTATCGGACCTGTACCGGCATTGTCAAGGTGTTATTTACAATACCTAGTACCAACACCCCTGCAACTTCGGCATTCCTCCAAAGATTCCAGCAAGACGAGTTAGGTAGATGAGCTTATAGAGGCTATTTCATCGCTCAAAAAATGGAACCAAAGTAAGTAGTGCTATGCTGAAGAAACAAAACACATTGCCATTCACAGATACTAGGATAAACAGTTAAGTTGAAAACATCACCATCATCCGGGAACATTGGACGGCGTGTCCGCAGTCTCCGACCTTCTGGATACTGCAGTGCAATGGCTAGTATCCCACAACAGAGCGGGACATTCGGGAGCCGCACCCTTCTCTGAGATTCAGTTTTCTTTATTCGGGTTTTAGGGTTTCTATTTCATTATTAGGGTTTTTTTAAACTGCGTCACGTTATGAAGGTTCCATGTTCCTTTAATCTTGGGCGCCGTTGTTTCGTTCCACACGTCGATGGATATCTTCTGCCAGCCTTGGTCATGAAGCACCATGGCCATTTGGAATACCCCGTATTCGGGGTGAGGGGGATTTTGCAACTGCCCGCGCCACGTCTGCCACATTAGTGACATTAACGGTATGATTTGCACCTCACAGCCCATGCTTTGGATCTCATTCACGAAGAGCTTGTGTCTGTCGGTTGTCCCAGCGCTGCACGAGAGGAATGTGAGGTGTTAGGGAGATAATGCATTTTCTAAGGAGGGAACAGCCTTAAGAACGCTGACAAGGCCCACGGCACCCTCTGCGTGGCTGAGATTCACCTTGACCGAGCCAATGTGCACGCCTAATTTGCTGAGGGATGGAGACAGGGCCGCCACTTCAATGAATCCCCCAGTTCTTGCCCACGTGCCATGGCACTGGTAGAAGCCTGTTCGGGTCATTCCCGCAATACCAGCATTTAGGTATGCTTGTTTGAGTAGCACTTCTTGTGTCTGAGAGCTGGGGAGTGAAACTGTTCGTGCGTGACCGTTGTGGTTGTCTGCCGAGCAGGTCACAACTGCGCGGACAGGGTTGCCGCCCTGACCGCGTCCGCCAGGGGCTTAAGGTAGATTGCGAAAATATCCTCACCGCACCCGTAGCTATTTGCGTTGGCTGAAAAGGTGTTGCATGAGCCATCGAGACTGAGAACGCCTTGCTCCGAGTTGGCGGCGGTAAAAGCTGGGGCCATGATGATGTTGGTGCCGCCAACGATGGCGGCTGTGCAGTCGCCGCGCGCAATGGACATGCATGCCTCATTGACACCGATGAGGGAAGCGGAACAAGCAGTTCGTAGCGCCACACTGGGGCCGTGTAGGTCGAGCTCGTGGAAGAGGCGATTCGAGACCATGAAGTCGTTCTGGCCTAGGACTTGGTAGATACCACGGGCCTGCGTGTCCCGCACCAAGAGATCGTACAAGTCCTGGCCGTAGAAGCCGATGTACACGCCAACATTGGTACCCTTCCACCGCGTCTCGCCGGCGTCATCGATGGCCTCGGGCGCGAACTTGAGATGCAAGCGCTGCTTGGGGTCAAGGTCTCTACCTCGCGGCGCGGCATGGAGAAGAACGAGGTGTACAGCGCGGCAAGGTCGTTGGTCGAATCGAGAAAGTACCACTGCTGAGCAATGGCGGTGCCAGGCTTTTTGTGCGGTGAATGGAACGCGGAGATGTTGTAACGCGAGGCGGGCACGGGGCCGCGAGCGTCGCGGCCAGCGTGGAGGAAGGACCACAGCTCCGAGGGGGAGTGGATGCCTCCGGGCAGTCGACATGCGATGCCGTGGCAACAGGCTGGAAGGTCGGGGCTAAGGTTGAGCGTGAGGTCGGGGGCTTGTGGTGTTGCCTGTCCCGTTGGTCGTTGATGTCGAGTCATTATGACCATTGGCATTGAGACAGTTGAGGCCGTTGTCCCTGTTCGTGGAAGTGTTTCCATTTGTTCGGCCGAGGTGATTTGTGGACCCATTGGTACCGTTGGAGTGGCCCCTCATGATGGTATAGTTGTTTCCAACGAACTTGAAATGGGAGTATTGCCGTCTGCCCTATTGATCTCTCTTGATCATAATTCGTCCATTTTTGACATTGTAATACTGCAGAGAGTGTCATGTGGTGTCTATAGAGCAAGCAAAGATGGCTCCAGCTGTCTCGGAGCAGTTTCTATAGTTGCAAGATCATACTTCACTCAGCTTTCGAGGCCTGGGCTTTCTGTACGCATAGGAGGATATTATACAATCCACCAGGTTACTATGCCTGCTTGCTCTGTTATGCTCTTTGTTCATTTACTCTGTAATTCAAGGTCGCCTATTAAGAGGAAAATCACAATTTTCTGACGACATCCGTATGATTATGCGCAAGCTGCAATCAAAATAATTTTGGGCACCATCAGCTTGGTCCGTTAGTATGATCTTTTGTCCAGGGTAAGAGTAAAAAGGCCTAGTATAAGACCGACGGTTCCAATGATACACCCATCATTACCGCTTTCCCGGGATAGTTTATTACACAATACTAGGTATCGTCTCGTATGGGAGTATTCGCGTAGTAAGCCCGTCAGTCAGTCGTCAATGCAACGCTAAGCACACCCACATTCATCCTCTCAGCTGCCCGTCCTGGAGCCCAAGGACCAAGAACAGAACAGAGGAGGACAATGAGAAGTCCGACGTCTGCCTGGCTCAGGTGCCTGCTCGGAGTAAGAGTAGGAGTAGGAGTTGAGAGGCGAGGACGTGGCCCGGCGTGTGTTTAACTGCTGTATCCGCCTTCCCCCGTCAGCTCTGATTCCATCTCAGCCTCGACTCACATCTACCAACGTCAACTAGACAAGGACGAAGGGAGCATGGAAAAAACCACGAGCCAGAGCCGGGGCCACGACCAGGATCCGGAGATCAGAGTGACCCGGCAAGACGAGGCCGCGTCCGGGTCCCAGTCACCAACGCCGGCGTCGCAAAAAAAGCACTACTCTTTCTACCTGTCGATCGTGATGCTGGCGTTGATTGCCCTGATCGTGTCCTGGGATGTGACGGCCCTTTCTTTGGCTTTGCCGGTAAGACCTTTGCTTCACATGGCCACGGCGCTTCTGTCCAGCTAACCAATTTATCTCGCAGGTCATAGCTGACCAGCTTCACGGGACCAACTTCCAGTCCTTCTGGGCCAACATCGCCTTCATTCTCGGCGTAGCCGTCACTCAGCCCGTCTGCTCCAATATCTCGGATGTGGTGGGCCGCAAATACGTCCTCTACGCTTCCATCATTCTCTTCGGGGTCGGGTCGATCGTCTTCGCCACCGCAACAAACATGGACATTATCATCGTCGGCCGGCTGATCGAGGGTCTGGGGTCGGGCGGGCTAGACGTCTTGCAAAGTATCATTCTCTGTGACATCACGACCATGAAGGAGCGTCCGTGGTGGCTGGGCGTCATGTCCATGGCAAATGCCGTGGGCGCCGTGACGGGCCCTTTCATCGGCGGCCAGTTCGCGCAGGCGGTTGGATGGCCCTGGCTGGGCTGGATTAATCTCATTACCGCGGGCGCTACGGGCGTTCCGGCCTTCTTCTTCCTCCATCTCACTCCGTTAGAAGGGAGCGTCAATGAGAAGATCCGCAGACTCGACTGGCTCGGCTTTGCGCTGTTCGTCGTCATCAGCACAATTATTGCCCTACCGCTCAGCTGGGCGGATACCCTCTACCCCTGGGGCTCATGGCAGACGCTCGTCCTGCTGCTCATCGGCCTCCTGCTGATTATTCCTTTCGGGTACGTCGAGAAGCGAGCCGTAGCGCCCATGATTCCATACCAGATCTTCGACAACATCTCTATCATCACGGGAACCCTATCCGGTGCGTTCTACGGCGCCCTCCTAAACCCGGTTCTTCTCTACCTGCCGCTCTTCTTCGAAGCCGTCTACCTGGAAACACCGATCCAAGCGGCCAAATCCATTCTCCCGCTCTGCTGCCTCGTTGTGGCAATGAGCATCATAGTCTCCCTGTTGATCGACTGGAGACGCAAGTACCGCATCGCCCTCTGGACAGGCTGGATTATCACCGCTATCTTCCTAGGCCTAAACTACGTGATCGACGCAGATTCCACCCGCGCACAAGCCTACGCTTTCCAATCAATCCTAGGCGCCGGACTTGGCATGACTCTCGTAGCGACAATGATCACTGTCCTCGCGAGCGTGCGAAAGGTCAACGACGAAGGTCTCGCAGCGGGGATGCTGGTGACAGCGCGGTTCGTGGGATCCCTGCTCGGCCTGGCGATCTGCTCGACGGTGTTCAATTCCATATTCGAGCGCGGAATGTCGCCACTGACCGGGACCGGAACCGAGTTGCCCGAGTCCATTTCCGTGCTGCGCGATGCAAGCCAGGCGGTGGGGTTCATTCCGCGGATGAGGGAAATTCACGATGTGGATGCAGGGGTGATACGGGTTGTGACAGATGCGTATGAGGATGCGTTCCATACTATCTGGGTGGTTTTGGCGACGATTGCGGGATTGGCGGCGGCACTTTCGTTGCTTACGAGGCAGAATTCGTTGGAGAAGGAGGATGTTGGGAGACAGGGGTGGAAGGTGCCGGAGGCTTCGTAGGACTGGGAAGTGGTCTTGAACTGGTCTAGTCTTGGTTCTGGTTTTGACTGAGTGGGTAGGGCTCTGCCCTGCACTGGGATGTATCTTAACTAGGGTAGACAGTTCAAAAAGAGCCCTGTACATAATCTCCAATAAAACAGAAACTCTACCTCTATATATCTGCAGCCGTATAACTAGTATACTATAACACACCAACAACGCACAAGCTATCCACAACCTTAGGAACCCCCTTTTACCCTACCTACCTATCCCCGTAGGGCAATCCCCACCCCTCCACCCCGAACACAAAAGGAAATAAGCAACCACATCCCTCAACTGCTTCTCTAATCGTGTAAACTCCATTCCCAGAACACTCGCCGACTGCTGCGCACCAACCCTAAACACTGACGACGGCAGACTCCCCTTCCCCAGCAATACTCGCCTCTCAACGGCCTCGGGGAACAACCGCGCCATAACCCAGAACACTCAGTCAACTGCGTCCCCAGTTCCCCGCCCGAGCCCAGAATGTACAGTCTGTTCCCCGGGATAAAAGCGTTCAGGCGCGTACGTGCGCTTCCGCCACGTCGTCTAGGTGCACTGTAACCCCTAGGTCTAGCGCTGGTGCTGGCGCTGTTTGCGTCTGTATATGAAGGGAGGATTCAGATGTGCAATCCTTTGAGCCGTGACCTTGCCGGCTCCCAGGGACCAGCGGTAAGAGCTTCAACCGGGAGGGGATGAGGTCCCTTATTATGTACCCACCTGGACCTGTGCCAGTGGAGGACCCTGGAAGACGGTCGGCGATTCTAGAGTTCTAGATTTGTTGGATAAGCATGGATATGTTAAAGCATTAATGATGATTACAATAAATTCATCCCTTTGAGATATGCAGGTGTGAATATTGAATGACTTTCCTTATGTTAAATTAGATTTACTAGTAGTCAATATATACTTTATAATCATTATAAAACTTATTAATTCATATCTTCGGATTCTTTAGATTTTTAGTACAATACTGTGTAGTATCAGGCTTATTATTAATTACTACTAGAATTTCTATGATGACATATATAGAACACTCCACCGGCTTCTTGATAACCTTACATGATATCTTTAATTGATATCCTTACTGTTTCTATAAAATCTTGTATAACAGATACTTAGCAAGTGTTAGATAGACCCTCAAAAGGTTATAACTATATACGAATTCATTAAATATAGAGCAAGGGTACAGGTAGGATTTGGGGAGGTATATATAGTAGCTTCATCATCATGTTTTTTTATTCCCAATAAAAGCCATTCTTAATCTGACTGTTAACCTAGCAGCAGGTATGAGAATTTCAATTAACCTGACCTGGCCTGACCTCGCGCTTTGCTACTCTAGCCTCTTTACGTGCGACCCCGGGCCTCTATGTTAGTCAATTAGGTATGCACTTCCTTGAATCGAAACTACTTCCTTCGTTATATATTGATAATTCAAGACAATGTAAACGATGGTTATCTAAGTGTATGAGACATGTTCCTTTCACACGAAGTAAAGGAAACAAAATATCATCACACAGCCATCCGAACTAGCTCCGTCAGCTTCGACACTCTGGCTCCGTAGAGCTTGCTCATAAACTGCAAATGATCGGCCTGCTTTGAATGAAGAGAAGTCGTGCAATCCTCCAGAACCGTAACCCTCAACCCCTTCTGGAACGCGGTTCTCGCAGTTGAGTCAATACAAACATCTGAGAACAAGCCCGCGAGAACAAGATGCTCAAAACCCTGTTCTTCCAAATATGTCGTGAACTCCGGAACTAAGAACGGATCCAGCAATGCCTTCTTATCAAAGATGCGTTCGCCAGGCTGAACCGTCACCCCAGGACCAACCTCCGCACCCCACGTCCCCTCGACGCATTTTTCGGGTTTCTGGAGAACGGCGTCCCGGTGCTGCCAGCTGGCGCTTTGGTAGGTGGTGTTTCCGAGGAATCGAACGAAAATGACGGGGCGGTTGTTTGCGCGGGCGAAGTCGATCGCGCGAGGGACGTTATTGACGACGCCTGCCATAGCAGGGCTGGGGTTTCCGGATATGAAATCGTTCTGGAAATCAATGACTACCAGGGCAGATTTCAGACCAAGGAAGGCTTGCAGGTCACCGGAGGCGGTGGCGGTAGATGCGATAGATTGTGTGGGATTTGCGATGGCTTGGAGGAAATAATCAACTGTTTCCTCTGTTTTCAATGAACCGCCTTGGTCGGGGGTAGTGAGTTTGCGCTGGAGGAGGTTTTGAATAGCTTGCTCTGTCAACTTCTGGATACCTTTGCCCCCAGCGTGTCGCTCCAGGATC